AAAATCACTAGGAATGTGTCCAATCGACATGATTTCAGCGTATAGAGGAAGGAAATCCAGGCCATTTACCTTTGTCTGAGGTGAAGAACAAAGAGCCAGCAGTTTTCATTTTAAAGTCAGTTCTTTAGCTTTTTCTAACCTGTTTCCCTCTTTTCGTTGAAATGTTTTCCCTGTCAAACATCCCACGTACAAACCGCCGACTCTGCAACGTCACTATTCTGCAGAAATATTCGCTTTTATCGGCTAATCAAGTTTGGACATTTATATTCACAAACTGTTTGACTCCGATTACCACCACTCTGTTTCCAAAAGGCTATATAAGACTTTATACTCGTAGAGTCGATTCAAAAAAGTTATTTGCTACCTTTTTCAAATCCACTACGCAAACCACTGCTATTCTGAAGTGTTTTATGTAAGCACAAATATAAAAGTGTCCAGTACATATGAATGGGAGTGTGTGTGTGTGTACGTACAGGAGCAGGATTCATTCTTGACTCAAACAGCACTGACCCAGACGGTGAGTCCCTATAAGACCAGCCGGTGGTGCAGCACCTCACTTTGGTGGCTGTGTTTGACACAAACCTCCTCCCTGTGCAAACGCCGTCCGTCTGACTGCACGTCACAGACTCACACGCCGCCGCTTCCCCTCCGCTGGGGTGGAAACTCTGTGGACAGTGACATCATCGCGCCCAGACCACTGGGTGACATCACGGGGGGAAGAGTGGAAATGTAGCCCCATCACAAAAAAACGTGTTACTGTCATCACGGAGGCAAAAGGCCGCGAGGAGAAGCGACACGGAGACACGGAGACACGGAGACACGGAGACAGAGCACCCAGTGAGCACAGTGAGGGGGACAAAGTGAGCTCGTGTAATCTGATGAATCTCCTCTGCTCTTAAAATCATCTTGCCTAATGAGCGGGAAATAAATCACCACCGATGCTCAAATGACATGAACAGCAACAGTGTTTACTCGTTAGCATCACATTCATCCCTCCCATCATTTGTCTCTCCAATATCTCAAGTCACCTTTAAACAAACATTCAGGAGGGGGGAGACCGTTCCCTGAAATGTTTATCTGGGCAGAGGGAGAAAGAGCTTCTCCTTAATTCTTTTGATTATCAGCTCTCGACTTTCTCCTCCGGATTGGAAGCATATGGCTTTGTTGCATAAGGTAGCATATGAGAGATGACTTCACGTATTAATAAGAAATGGCGAGTCGGTAGACTCCCCTTTGGGCCTCAGCTTTGAATTTTGGCCGCTGGCCGTCCCTGCAGAGCCAGAGCTCCTTAGCACATGGCTGAAAACAAATGGAGTTAGTCACTGTTTCCTTTTCCCAGGAATCAGCAGTCTAACAGAGTTTGACACAATCCAGAGGACAACAAGTTCCCCATTAATGTTGCTGTTGGTGTACAACAACGTCTCTAGAGCATAAATCCGCCCATATCACCTTTTAAAATCTTTACTCATCTCTCGAGATGCGCAAAAAAACACAGAAAAACACGGCGCATGCAGATGATGAGTGGAAGAAAACGCTATTTAAAAGTTATTTATATGATAATAATTTACAATTGCATTCACGTTTATCCTTTCCATGTGTCAATATACCTCAAAAGAAAGAATATCAATAGAGAATCTCACTCCACAGAGACACCAAATGTCTGAATTATTAATTATATTATGAGCCGGATTTACTGGCTGGAGTCCAAATTATTCCTCAAATGTGACAATTAGTGCATCGGATTAAACTTACTCACTGTCTTTGGGTTTTTTTGTGCTGTGACCCTTTGGTCACTGTGGACTGCTTCACTAAACACAGAGCAAAGGCTCCTTAGCGAGCGCGTGTTCAGCCCCCACATCACCACACACACACACACACACACACACACACACACACACACACACACACACACACACACACACACACACTCCTTTTCCCCGTGTTACACACTTGGTGCCATAACAACATCAGAATGAGCTCTGCCATGACACGCCTTCATCCACCCCCATGAACCAAGTCCTCCGTCTGGTTCGGAGTTCGATTCAGATCCGTCTCCAGACTCCGTCCACGTTCCACATGTGCCAGATGTCACGCTCCCTCCTGCAGGTGCGGGCACCGTGTTTGACATGCTGTCGACGTTGGTATTATCCAGAACACACTGCAGGTATGAACCGCCCTCCGGCCCCGTGCTGAACCACATGTGTGTTTATGCTTTGGCTGAACAGATGTGTTAGCAGAGCGAAGATCCCGCAGGTTGAGGGCACTCTGACTGATGGGGAAAGAGGTCTCAGGAGGGGAGTCGAGCTCTGAGGAGATTTAACACAGCTGTCCGGCAGATTGCGTTACACTAAAACGCCCAAACACTCCACGTTAACTTTGCACATGAGGAAAGGTGAAGTGCAGTTGGGTATTGATCCCCCCCGGCCAAGAGATGCTCCTCCAGGTGTGCAGAGTTCACCAATCCCATACGTATGTGCAATGAAATACTGTCTCCCGTATACAGGCCAGCATGCCGAGTCCTGCCACCCAAACTAGTGTGAAGAGGGAAGGGGAGAAGGACACAAAGCTGTCGGGCCTGAAGTGTTCTGGAGCTTTCCATCATATAAAAAAAGTTCTATTCTGCTGATACATTTGACCCCATAAAACCGCCTCATAGAACCATCTGCTAGTGAAGATCCTGCGATATGATCCAAAGCTCCAAAACAGCTAATAAATTGCCCATGAAGGGAGAGTTGGGGTTGGAGAGGTTGTGCCTCCTCCTCGCAATTTACAAGAATCCAAACCGTCCAGTAAAGCAGTTGCCTTGTTTGCACGGCTCATGCTGTGATTGTTGACGGCTCAAGCCCTAAAAAAACAACAAAAAAACAACCTCAACTCATCCTCTGGCTCCGGTCCACTGAGGCGGGGCGGAGGGCCGTGGCCTCTTGGGAGCGATCTGTCCTCTCAAAACACACCCAACAGCGTCCATTAAAGCCCCCCCCCACGCCGTTAACTCATCCGCTTGGAAGTGTTTGACTGCATGAAGAAGGCAGGGAGCCAAACACTGCTTTGAAAACGAGGGAATTACGGAGGAGCAAGAGGGGAGTTTGTTCTCCTTTGGATCCAATAAGTAAGGCAAGTTCATTTCTGCAGCACAAGGCAACTCAAAAGGTTCCACATAAAACCATTCAAACAATAGGCAACAATCAAGCAACGATTGAAACATTAAACATGGACAATAAACAAGCTTAAAAAGAGAAACTGGTACATTTGTACAGCTGGAGGAAAAAACAACAATTTAAGCGTGGAGTTTCCAGTCGAAGCTCAAAGTATCGGCTATATTTACACTCCCAAACACAGAGGCAGCAGACGGCCAGACTCATGTGAGAAGAAGAAAGCTTAGTTGAGGCTTATCTCATCCTGCTTTCATAACTAAAAAGCTGGTTCAGACAGCAAAGGGGAAGTCTGTAATCGGAAGGATAACATTGTGTTGTTGCTGCAGTGCACCAGGGCTCCTACGCAGGACGCCAGCCGGCCTCCTTTGAGCCTGTAATCTCAGTGAGACATCGCCGTGGACACTTCCAACAGGACGGACCCGGTCTGAAACAGCGCCCGTGATTTCCACCGGCCACAATGCAAATACTGATGATTCAACACTTTAAACGCACAATGGAGGGGACACAGGACGCCCGAACCACTGTGTGTCCGTGCCCGGAGGCTTTACGAGGCCTTTTTCCGGAGCTTCCTGCTTTTTGGAAGCTCTAAATTGCTGTGGAGTCAAAACGCAGCGATGAAGCCTCTTCATCGTACTCGTCTTCAAAGATATCTCCACTGTAACTTACACAAAGACCCTGACAGACACATTTTAATGTCAGACTTTTCTATTAGCTGCACACAGAAAGAGGGTTTCCTTTATTGGCTCCACACATATTACACATTTTCATACTCGTTGCCCCCCCTTCTATTTGTTTGGACATTGCTATTAAAAAAAGGCAATCCAAGTTACAGAAGTGTGATGAAACTCCAAAGTGGTGGTGCACAGACACTGAGAATGGATTATTCAGAGGATCAGGAGTTATCTTGGAACACCCTCTTGGTGAGAGGAGGTGTGGACGAACACGGAAAAGATTCTTTCTCCCTATCGAGCGATTGTTTCTGTCGAAATAATATATATATATAAATAGATTTCAATAGTTCATTTTCTAGATTTCGTTTTAAAAACAGCTCTTGAATACACTTCCATGACTATGCAACCTATTCAGCTAGCATACGTTGTACATCTTGTAAGTTCACCTTATTCTTTTATTGATTGATGATTGTTTCTGAACTTGCCTCGTGGACCTCGAGGGGCCCACTCTGTCGCTCCCACAGGGCCTTAAGAAAGGTGTTTCATTTCACAGCTCTACACTTTCACATTTTTCAGAATGTGCTAAAAAAAAAGCTCAATTTCCCCTGTGTGGGTTTCACAGATTTAAATAGATGATGTAATCTGAAGTCCCTTCAGGTCTGTTTAATGGCCACATGGGTCTCGTATTTACTGGGCCTGGTGGAGTGGGACCATATGCTCCATGTTCTCTGCTGCCATTGGAGCGACTGCAGTGAAGCTTCATTCCTGGTTCAAATCTCGTGATCTCATATTGGTTTTAAACTGCGTGAGCGCAGAGCGATGTCGGCTGCTGGGCCCAGTTCCCACTACGAGAACAAGACTCCAACAAGTGACTTTTAGCTGCTCTGATGTAATCTGATGACAACGTGCTGTCTTTGTAACTTCCACCATCTGGTGTTTCAGATCGGTATCACAGCCATTCATAAATATGATGAAAGCACTACATAAACTAACACATCGCTTAATGGTGTATTTGTCTTAAATATTTTATGATGTATTAAATTTGTTTTGGATTCCGTCACCGAGACAGAAGAGCAATTATGATGAATTATACAGTTTAAGTCAAGCAGAAAAGGTTCCGTGATGTGACGATCGTGCCACATACTGCTTGGATAATAGAATAAGTGCCAAAGTCTTCATTTCATACATACATTTATTTTATATAAAAGGAAAAAAAAGTTGCAATATTAACAGTTATACACAGTCCAATCACTGGAAAACTACGGTGTCCAACATGGCTGCTAGGCACTGAACGATGTTGGATGTCATTAAAACGTCTACGTGCTCCTCCAAGTGCCTCTTAGGATCCTGCAAGAAGGACAGAATATTAGCACAAACATCAACAATGAGATATGATGTGTGATGAAGAGGGGTTTTTATTCCACGTGTTTGATTTGAACAGGCCTCAAGAAACTTAAATGAAAACTCCAGCTCTGCTTCCATAACTTGTACCAACGTTCACAGACTATTTATCCGTAAGCAACAAACACGGACCTCAATTTGTGTGATATTACCAAAAGGAATGGAATCATATCTGTTACCTGTTTTCCAACGTTCTTGATTGCCAGCTGCTCCGGGGTCATTTTGTCCTCCTCCTCAACAGCCTGCGGTCCAAACACAACAGTGTCTTAACATTGCAGTGGAGCACACCAGGAGCATGCAATGTGTGCGTATTTGTAATACTTTTAGCAGTTTTATAGGGAATTAGAAATTCAAAAGGACTTTTAATTTTTATACCAAGACAATCACCAAACTTCTGTATCAAGTGACTATTTAAAGACTGATTCAATCAATCAAGCATCATTTAACTGAAGAAGTTGTGAACGCAGCACGGCTGCATCACACTGGTGGGAGGTGGGGAGCATCGGGGAGGGGATCGATGCCGGTGCCACGGCAACGGCTTTCGGATGAAATCAACGAACTCGTAGGTGGTTAAGTAGTGGAGGAGATGTTACTAATATTAAAATCCTTTATACGCATCACACTGCCTGACAGAATTACTATTTCCCAGCTACCTCGACATATCGAATAGCTGTAAAGAGGAAATAGCAACATTTCTGACTGCACAGTAACAGATTACAGTCGATAAGTAGGTGCAATGAATCACAAAGGGCTCAGCAGAAGTTCAATGACTTGTCTTCCACAGTAAAAGCTGTAACACTATTCGTTACTTGTTAACTAAAGCAGTATTGATGTAACGTAGCAAGCCACTTTTAAAAAGTAACATCTATTTACACCGGTGAAGGAATTCTTCAGTATAAAAAAAGGTCATAAAATGTGTGTAAACATCTGAAACCAAATGTCCACTGGAATAAATGTCCCTTCTTGTGCTCTAAAAGGCCATTTAAAAAAAAGGTTTACCTTGTTGTAGTTCTTAGCCAGCTCCAGCATTTCCTTGACGATGGTCTCATTGAGTTTGCAATGCTCACTGTAGTCCTGCAGGGTCAGACCCTCCATCCAGCTCTTCTTGTGAAGGTTCAACAGCATCTAACAAAACAATGAGCGTTCTTTTTTATGTTCTATTAATAAAAACAATGTAAACAAGTCTGCGATAATCTGTGATATTCAAACCTTTTGCTCCAGCTCGTTTTTCCGGTAATTGATGGTGATGGAGTAGTAGTGTCTGTTGAGTCCATGAATCAGAGCCTGAAAACAAGAGAAAACAATCAATATTCCTGTGCTTTAAAAGCAATTGGACACACTTTGGACCTTTGAGCGGCGCTACGAACCTGGATTGAGGGCTTGTTGAGATGCCCCAGGTTAGATGTGGTTTGTCTTGGTTCATGACCCAACACCATCATGTTGGCATTGATCAATCGGAAGGCATCAATAACAACCTGGGAGGAGACAAACGCACATGAAACCACTTTACCGAACGGCACGTTATTTCTAAAACGCAAGTTCCTGAGTAACGGGCGTCCATCTTTACCTTTCCTTTGACGCTCTGAATGGGATCGACCACCACAGCGACGGCTCGCTCCGACAGGGCCTCGAAGCTCTGCTGCGTGTTGATGTCCACGCCAGACAACCAACAGCCGAAACCAGGGTGACTGTGGTACCACCCCACCACCATCTCTGGTCTGGTGAGCAACACGGGCGAAAGACAACACACACACGCTTAGCGGGCAGCAGAAAGGGATGGATGTTTACCTACAAATGTACACTACAATGAAAGCTATCGGTGAAGTATTTTTCTAAATATTACACTTGGAAGTTTTACCTGCCGGTCTGCTTCAGCATGTCCAACATCTTGGCCTGGAACACGGGGTCCACAGCTTCTACGCTCACACCCTGTGAGGTAGAATGTGTTCATTCAATAATACGGTTCATTCAACTACGGCAGAAATCTATACTTGTGGTAAAATTGTCAAAATCAGCGAATACAGTTCCATGCATAAGTATTCACTCTCCTTGGACTTTTCCCCATTTTGTACTGTTACAGGGGTGCAAAATACCTTTTATTGTGACACAAACAATAATGACACCAACAAAATCAGTAATCACCCCCCCGAGTCATTATTTGATCAAATCCCCTTTCTCTTAAATTACTGCTAGTCTTTTTTGGGGGGTGTCTCCACCAGCTTGGCCTATCTACAGATGGACATGATTATGCCGAGCTGAGCTAAGCTCATTGTCCTGCCGCAAGATGAACTTTCGCTCAAGTCTTTTGCAGACTACATCATATTTTCTTCATTCAGTATTGCCCTGTATTGGGTTCATCCACCCTTCCTCCAATTCGGACAAGTTTGCCTGTACCTGCTGAAGAGAAGCACCCCACAGCGTGATGCTTCCACCACCACCACAGTTCCCTGTTGGGCTCAGGGTGATGGCCAGTGTTGGGTTTCCACCACACAGCGTTTTTGCACTGAGGCCAAAAAGTTCTATTTTGGTCTCATCTGCCCAGAGCACCTTCTTCCACATGTTAGCTGTGTCGCCCACATGGCTTGTGGCAAACAAACAGGATTTTCTATAGTTTCATTTCAACAGCTGCTTCCTTTTGCCGCTCTGCCATAAAGACCAGATTTGTGGAGTACACGGCTTATAGCTGTCCTCTGGAGAGATTCTCCCTCCTCACCGCTGGATCATAGGAGCTCCTTCAGTTACCATGGTTGCTGCTCAGATTCATTTTCTTCTCAGTTTGGCTGGACGGCCTTCTCTTGGTAGGTTTGCCGTTGTACCTTATTATTTCCATTTTTTTAATAATGGATTTACTGGCGCTACGTGAAATGTTCAAAGCGTGGGATATTTTTTTTTATAACCTAATCCTGCGTCATACTTAGCTACAACGTTGAGCTCCTTTGTCTTCATAATGTTTGATCTTTGTTCAGTAAAGCCGTCTAACAAACTCTTTCATACAGAGATCAAATTATAGACCCTACTTACCAATTATGTGGTGTGCCAATTGACTTGGGAAGACAATTGATCGTATCAGATTTTTCTTAGGGGTTTCACAGTAAAGAAAAGTAAAGGGGGGGTGAATACCCATGCCAGGCACTGTATACCATGCATTGACTAAACATCACAACAAGGAAGTTAGCTTTATTCATTTCGTTATAGGATAAATACATACCGTTCCGGACTGTGGCATGGCAAACACATCAATCACTCGTACTGTGTAGTCATCAACAAATTCTCCCAACATCAAGCCCATGACCTCCATTGGTACTCCAGCACGTCCGTGCTTCAACATCTATGGAAGAGCAGATACATGGGAGAAGTTACAAAGGGATTATTTGAAACACAATCACGACCACATAAAGTGTTCAGTGCATTCGATGTTTGAGTACCTTGAGCAGGGCCAGAGAGGAGATGTAAACTTGCTCTGCTGTGTCCACAGCAGGTGCATCTGTCGGGGGACCCTGCGGAGGCACAGCAGAGTTTATCGAGCCTTTCTTACACAGTAGTTATGCAGATCAATACAATTAAACTATAGTTTAGAACTTGAATGCATGAAATATATTATGGGTCAATATTTAGTATCCTTTCAATCCTTTGGTAAACTATTAAAAACTCAGGGTATGACATATTTGTGAGATTGCACTAGAACTCGAGCAAAGCCACCCATGTCTCATTACTGTTAATAAATCAATTTAATTTATATGATTAATAAATACAGACTACTGGGCCCATTATGGATTCAATCAAATATCTAGTTTAGTCCAAAATTCCTAATAACAACATTTATATAATAATTGATAAGTATAAGGTTTCAGGCTTAAAAGTTGATTTAAGAGGTTTGGTTTAAGAAATTTTCCATTTCAATCAATAGTTTTGTTCAAACGTGTTACCTGGCCAAGTCCTGGCATTCCACTTCCGAGCCTCAGCAGGCGATCCATATCGAGATCTGAAGAGCAAACACAATTAAACTTTCCGTCAAACTACACATTTATACTAGTGGAGATACACATTTGATTTTATCTTTATTTAGAACTAATCCAAAAAGGTTTGGGACAAGTTCATTAACAAAATATACATATGGCACAAGTAATGGACTAATATTTACATGGACCACACTTAGTTACAGGTTGCATATAGTCGGGTATAAACTGTTAGATAGCGAACATTAAGTCATATGTGGGTTTAATAGATGGAGTTGAATCAACGTTAACAAAAACAAGAAGCAGAATAACTTAAATCATGATTTAGTATCGCGATATTGGGATTCACATCATCTAACGTTATATTCTAAATTATTTGCGTTATGTTTCGTGCCTTCTCTTTCGGTCATGAAATTGACATTAGGATTTAACGTTACAGGTGTGACGTTATTTAAGTAGCCGATGAAATTCCAACAAAGTAGAAATTAGCCACGCTAGTTAGCTTGAATTTGCTAATCATACAAACGTAGCAAAAGAGTCTTGAAACCCACCCATTTATTTTTTCAAATGAAAGTATAGGTTACCATATATAGGTAACAAAAAGACAGAGACATTTATAACACATGTGTCATTAAAACGCTCGGTTCATTGACAGCCACATCCACGTTAGCTCGCTTTTAGCTCCCTGTTAGCTTCCTCACGCTTAGCCTTTGGCATCTCACACAAAAACAGCAACAAAGTCTTAACACTTATTTGATTTCACCGCGTTTTATGAAAGCCACTGACTGCGGTTACGCCGTAAGTTCACTTACCTGTTGTCAAATATTTCAGGTGTTTTGAAAAGGCTGTGTTTCTGTGATCGGTCGAGTCAGTGTAATTGGCTACAATGAATCAGCCAGAATTCTCTTCTTTTTTTTTGTTAGAGAATCTACTTCCGTCGCACTCGTGACGTATGTTGTTGTCGCCAGAGTTGCACCTCCATGATCTAGACACAAGGGCGCGCTAGAATGAATACGTTTCACAGTTCTGCTGCTCCTGCGATAATTGTTACCATTTCTACAATGGTAAATATGTTCTATGGATATAGTTATATCGGTGTATATGTATGTCCTATGCACAACTGATTACTGCTTTTACTTATTGACAATGTAAAGTCTCACTCTATTACATAAAAGTAATACGATAAGCTTACACAATTAAAAATATATAGTTGGTACTTAGAAACAGAATGATTAACTGCAAAGGCCTACTAACTGTGTTATAACATCTGTTTTATATTAAGTACTGACATTATATATATTTGGTTTAGGGACCTATGGATATTCTTCATATTGTGTTTTATTGGCACTCTATATCTTGGCACAATATTTCTTGCTATTCAATATTTTTATCTTGCGTCACTATTTCTGTGTTCTCCATTGATGTACAAAAAGGATTTCTAAACGTTAAATGTGTACGTTTTTAAGTCAAGTTGTGAGACATTCACAATATTGACATCATGAATCTTTCAAATGGTGATTGTTTATAATATAAAATGCTTTTATATTTGGTAACACTAAATACAATATTTCCCTTGCGGTTGTTTTCTTTCTTTGGGTCGATGGCTGTGTATTTACTACTAATACTACTGATATTAAGAGTATGCCTGAATCAAGAATGACAGATGTAGTTACACATGTACAGTATATATCTGCTCCTTGTACAAGAAATTATAGAGGTGCATCAATGTATTTCAAGGACAGGAGACTAGTTAAGTCTCTAGTTTGACATAATAATCATTACATTTTTCAATCAAATTGAACCTAAATATGCACCTAGACCTTTTCTTCTAGGACTTACTCAACATAGAAAAGAAATACAGCACGGACAAAATATACAGCATCTATATGTCCATGCTAAAAAGAATGAAAATAGCTGAGAAGTTGTGTGGTTTCTCATATTTCAACACGCAAGCATTTCATTATTCCCCGAGGAGCCCTACTCTGAGCTGAACCACAACACCACTCGGCTTGTGAAAAAACTCCTCTGTTGGGCTCACTTGTATTCCAGCAGGACAACTTGTACATTTCCCCCCGAAGGTTGTTGTTGGTTACTTGACTTCCCAGCCAGGTCATCAACAGGAATTTTTGAATTCCTTCATTCCTTAGAGAATGAGGAAGGGGGAGATAATCATCCACATTCCTCAGCCCCTGCATCACCACACCCTCTTACTACCTCCACACAATTCCCTGCACTCGGCGGTCGTAACCAGGATGTGCTTCCTTGTGATAGACTTAACTCTAGTTTAGATGGATTTTACGATCCACAACGTGTCAACTTAAATAATTAAGGTATATATTAATATATAGTCCCTGAATGTTGTTGCCAGTTTGTATCTAATTTACTTCCTAGGATACTTCTAGTATTTCTGCTGATAGGGTTTGAATCTCTCCCCCATAGTGACCATTAGGTAGCTTCGTCAACCAATAAAGGAGCTGGTGAAATCGACAACTTGGTCTGAGAGAACACAATTCTGGAGACAAACTCATTCTCATTATTTTTTCTTCCCAAGTGGGTCGGGTTTATTGTTTTCCGCATTCGTTTTGCTGACAGTGTTATCTCATTTAATTCAGCTCTGCTTGTGATTGGTGAGCAGCTTTTCATTGGTTCATTCAGAAAGTTATCCATTTGGCTTCAGACAGGGAGACTCCTTCCTGCAGTTTTACCCAGAGAAACAATGGATGAAAGGATGAAATAGCCAAAGGCTACAGATCAATTGGATAATTGATGAAGTGAGTTATGAGTACAATGCATGTAGCGAAATGGCTGCTAACAACACATTGGGTCTAATGTGATAACCATCAATCAATAACTAGAAACAAAAATCACACAGAATCATATCTACTAAGAGTATTGGAGCTCCTTATTCAGATAGGAGTGAGCTGACATTTCAAAGACCATCAGAAGTAGCTTGTAACACGACACCAGCATGACATCTTAATCCGACTCACAGACGCAATAAGGGGGAGAAATTTGATGCTTTAGAAGCTTCCATGCACCCTGATGGGATGTGGATTCAGCTTTGCTTAATACATCTCCTCCAGAATCACTGCTAGTGGGAAGCACGGCTTTGTGCACCTAAGTATCCATGTGTGAATATAAAATGACTTTAATTATAAAATAGTGAGGGGGAAATGAGCACCTCGACAGTTATCTCCGGGCCAATGCAACTGATTGAAGTGGCTCTGCTGCAGCTCTACCAGTCGGTTTCCCTTTTAAAAAGAAATACTCATATCGGTTTACACAAACACCGCAATGCAAAGTTAGTGGTTTGATTCTGGCAGATTGCCATTGTTGCACATAACAAAACCTTTGTTCTCTGTCTTTGACGAGGTTAAAAACGTTTGTGGCAAAGATATATAAAAATGATAATTAATACTTCTTCTTACAGTAAAGGTTTCTTGAGGATTGGAAAAAGCATCTTATTCCATGGTATCGGACGGTATAACAAAGCCACCATTTCACCAAATGAAAATGTTTTACATGATACGTGAATAGGTTTTGACAAATTCCCCCCAACCTGTCTATAGTGCGCTAGTACTATTTTTCAATAATTGGTTGATTTCATGTTCTAAATAAAAGAATACATTTTTGCTGGAGAGGTTCCCGGTGCGAACATCAACACATTCTGTATACTAACAATGTGTCTGTAGCATCAAAAGCTGTTAAGTCATGTATCAACTTTTTGGTTGGCTTTAAAGTTTGTTTCCTGATCATTTGTGATTTATTACAGACATACACATCAACCCATCTAATGAAAGCTCCAAGATCACAGAATACTTATGTCTTACTCAATTCCCAGAAGAAATGCAGAAGACACAACCTCAGCGGTCGCCTATAGGCTCAACATATGATGGCAATTACCAAGCAGAAGACCCGAGGACACCGGCGTGTGCAATGGCAGCGGGTAAAGAGAAGAGAATGGTGGAAATGATTCTATTGTAGGGGAGGACCGGCTGTAATGAGAAGGGCTGTTCCTCTATCGCAGTGCAACAACTAAAAGCTTTAAGCTTGCGTCCGATGAACTCAAAGGGTCCCAGAGGTCAAACGCAGGAGATCAGAGACAGCTCATTCTGAAGCACCAACGGCAAACCAGTGCATTTCGAAAGCAATCCTGAAATGCACTAGAAACATTTGACCACAAGCTAAGACATAGTTCCTGTTTTTTTTGGCCCCATCAGTGAGTTATGTGAAAAATGCTTAGTTTACATTTTCAAAAACTGCACACAAGCAAATCAATCTTGTGAATGCACTGAAAGAGGAAAATATAAGTGGAACGTATCTACTTCACCTTTAGGTCACAGAATCAACATACAGAATAAGCTGCTTCAAAGAGCACATATAGGATGCAAAAGATAGGAGCAATAGGCCTTTTTAATGAACGTTTTATTTCCAAATGTGTGTCCTGTGCTCTTCTCTTTGAATTTTCTCCCTCGCACAGTTGGTTTTAACTCGGGGGGAGTGAGTGACCTCCGGCCCAGGCCAGACCCTGCTTATATTTCATTGCATCCTGAATCTCTACCATGCAGTGTGTTGGATGGGGGGAAGGGTAGGAAGAGGAAGAGGGCGTGTGGGTGTGTGTGTGTGGTTTGGAGGAGGTGGGGGTGAAGAATGCTTGGTATGTGCGGACGACAACAACATGAAAGGCGACGCGCGTTCCGCGTAACCGACCGTGCGCCTGCAAATCAAACGCAAAAGCACTTTGCAGCCGCTTATAAACCGACCCGCAGACGCCAGGCGTCTCGACGCGCCTTTGTCCCCCGAAAACAACCGCCCAGGCGAAGCGGCGCGAGGCGGCCACGCACTTTATTTGATGTGGAACACCCCGCGGAGGCGGAGATGGTTTGGTCGGTAGTAGGTGGGACCGCCGAGCGGTCTGCAGCAGGACGTCGTAGATCAGCGAAGCGGACCGAAGGGTTGCTCCATCGCCCGGCGCGCATCTGACGGTGTGGATGTGTCAGCTTGTACCTATGCAGGAGCCAGGCTCGTCTTCTCTTCTTTTCACTGTTACCGAGCAGCCCGCTCGCCGTGCGGATGTTTTAAACCGACTGGCTGTTTCATAGGCTCCCGTAACACCGCCCGGATTCACGTCTCCAGCGGCTCCTCTTTGCGAATTTTTTTTTTGGAGCGGGGAAAAATATATATATTCACATCTATATAGGCTATATATATATATTTACATCTATATATAAAACCTCCAGGATGATCTTTGCAAACACAGGCAACCCGCTGAAGACAGCCAATCGCAAACAGGTAGGCCAAACACACACACACACACACACACACACACACTCGCACGTTGCTATATTTTATTATTATTTATTTTTTATTTTAACACACACACAATTAAGGCAGCATTTGAGTGAACACGCCGTGCAGCAGCCTGCCATGACATCGGAGGGGCTTTGATGTGGCACACATGCGTGTCTACATCAGCCTTTTAACGGCACAATGCATTGAATTCTTAATGGGTCCACTTCTCTCTGCCGACTTGTCAAACGGGGATGCTGATCCTCCGATAGGCTGAACGTGGAGAGATAAACCAGCTGCTGACCCGATCCATTGCTCCACAACCGATATTTTAATTATTCTGTCCGTATAACCTTGTTTGCCCAGCCACTCGCCCCCTCCGGTCAATGTGGATGACGGTTACTGTGGTCCATTTTATGGATTAATGCCTCCTGGGTGATTCCAGAGAGAGTAGTGTAATCTAATGTAGTGTATGTCAGTCTGCTGGAGTGAACTGTGCTGCCAGATTCTGTCCCTGTGACCCCTGGATGAGGGAAAAAAAGGGTAATTGAAGGCAGTGTCCCTTCGCTTTCCCATCACACCTTTCCATTTAGACGGCAGATGGGAATAGGAAGCCGGCGTAGAGGTGAGACTTAGCTGCTATTCTAACCTCTGCTGATGGAAACGTGACCCATGTGTGATATAAAGTGGATTGAGCCGGCATCCTGTAGAAGCTCACATATCCACCTTTCAGATGAATCTGTAATACGTATCCGTCAGAGGGCACTATGTGTGACTTTGAGCAGGGGAATCTGAAACCAGCCCCACACGAGTCACTGCAGGGACGCCACGAATGTGTTTTCAGTGCAGGCTTAAGCCAGGTTTAGTCCTCTATACGGTGCGCTGGTGCCTCTGTGAAATGCACCACCGCGGCTCCCCTCTGATGGAGTAGGCGTTTTGTCTCGGGAGGCCTGAACCTTTTTTAACGCTCTCAAACAAAGTTAGCATGGTAATTGCGCACCAACAGAAATATAACGGCGCTGCTTGAAGACAAAGCAAGCCTAAATGAGCAGAGAACGATAACCGGGGGGGGGGGGGCATCTCAGTGAGTCTTGTTGGCTGTGGTTGAATCCACGGCTTTGGCTCTCTGAGTGGATTGTCCTTTGGTTATGGACAGATGGTGCGATTCTGCTGTGCTTTGTCTTTGATCTGATCTGGAGAGGGTTTTGAGTGGCTGGAAGCTATTTTAATGAATGAGTAAGGGGAAGGAAATGCTTTGCAGGGCAGTGTCGCATGGCTCACAAGAGTGAAATATGAAAAAATGGTAGGTTTCCGATTTAACACTGAGAGACGCGAGCACGGATTTAATCGCGTTGGGACTCATAAAGGCCCACATGCAAGTGCAGATATGTCTCTGTGTACTCTGTGATGTGACGCTGGCAGACCGGAAGCTTAAAGGTTAAACCTCTGCCACTCAGACCCTGACAGTGCTGCAAGTACAAATCAACTCATTTCTTTAAGCCAAAGGAAAAATACTCTCTTGCAATTAAATGTCCTGCATTTCATCACTGAATATTATTCACATAGAGTATGAAATTTTATTGGATTCAAAATGCATGGATAATATTTTTTAGATATTTTGTATTTTTTTCAATGTGAAGCTAATTTTGCTACATTATTAGTAATTCATTGCATCATCATTCATAAGTCCATCACGTGAGTAAAAACTGTCAGAAAATGAAAATATTTGAGTAATAGTTATAGTACTTAAGTACTTGCAGGTGTGTCACGATGTAGAAGAAGCTGTGTTTGCTGCCGTATTGATCTTTTATTGCAAGGATGTACACTAAACAATAAAGCCAAATCCAGCCCACTGTTTACATAACGGTTTGGCACGGATGATTAAAAATGCTCTTGTGATCACTGTTGACCTGGGTTTGAATTAGATTATGGAGCTCCCATACCCTTCCTAACAGTGGGTGTCCTGTGTGCAGTCCTACCCCATGACTCCGTCCAGTCCCAGCAGCAGCAACAGCAGCAGCAGCACAGGCCTGGAGCAGCTCAGCAAAACCAACCTGTACATCCGCGGCCTGCCCCCTGCCACCACAGACCTGGACCTGGTCAAACTCTGTCACCAGTGAGTAAACGCACACATACAGTTTAAGCATAACAACCATGCTGATGTGTGTGCATTGCAATGCTTGTTTGCTGAAGAAGGGGGGCTAAAAGCAGGCTTAAGGTACCACAAACCAACCAGGTTGCAGTGATTGGATGAAGGGCCTCCCTCACCACACACGGTTTCTTGGACATCTTAGTTGCACATCTAAGTTAATGAAACTGTTAGAAGCCTTAATCCTAAGGAGTACCTCGGCACTAAGGGAAATGCGCTTATTGGCTTTGTTTGCTTTGTTTGCCAAGAGTTAGATGACAAATCCTCACATTTACTGTGCAGATATGAGCGTGGTTTCAAATTTCTGGCAAGAAGTTTGAATTCTTTGAGAATAACCTTTTAATTATTCATGGTCTCAATACAATTTATTGACTCATAAAATTGACACAGTTGTTTCTAAGAAGAGGCTTTTGGAATAATGTACTAAATGAAAGGAAATATTTTGCATATAAATGTCTATAGATAATGACATTAAATAGAACAAAGAAGACTCTGTGCAGTTTTAGGACCAGATCATTGATTTAGCATTGAAATGCAGACACTAGTTTAACTACAGTGTGCTCTGGCATCAAATGCTTCAACTATAGCTCCAACAGAAACACAACACACACACAACAAAGAGTCTTTGCTCAACAGTGGCGTGTGTGTGAAACGCACTTTTTAAAATCAGCGGTGAGCGCGATCGATGCTCGATACTACAGGCGTCACTCCGGGTGGCCAGTGTGCCGGATGCCATGATGATTAGCGGAGTTTTGTCTCCCCTCTTTCCCTCCGAACCACGAGCACACGGGGGAGAGGCGTTCACCCATGCAAGCAGCAGCAGCAGCAGCAGCTGTTTGTGTCCTGTTTGCTTGTGTTTTGTTCATGATGTTCCCAATGGTGTTTGCCAGCACAAAGCATAAATGAAAGCGCTTTTCATGCCTACAAGGTCTGAATGGAGATGTAAGCTCGGTATTCAGCGTGTACGTTGTGCGCTCACGTTGCTGCTCGCGGCGTGTGCCACAGTTGTGGTGTTCACTAACGACTATTTCGACGGTCAAATAAGATGCAGATTGTTGAAACAGATTAAATGCTTTTTGGGCAGCAACTCACGTGAAAGCGAAACGGTTTCTTATTAGGTAGCACGATGACGTCGCTGACTAATCCATCATTCATTTTGTTGGCAGATAATTTGATTAGTCATGGCTGAGTTTAAACTCTGAGCGAAGCCTGACACTGGATTCTTAATGTCCTAATGTTCTGTCCTAAAGTCCTTCATTAGTTTTATTGATTGTTCTTTGTTGCTTGCTTTTAACATTAAAGATACATAATGAGGAGTCCAAGGAAAAGAAGACCCATTTTAGATAAAATTCTATAACCTCCGTCACATTTGTATCGTTTTTTTATTTGTAAGTCATCTGAATGTCGATGTGTGCACAGGTACGGGAAGATTCAGTCGGCAAAGGCAATCCTGGACAAGACGACCAACAAATGTAAAGGTCAGTAAGGTCATCAGCTTATCAGAGCTGCAGGATAAGAATGTTCTTTATTTATTTAGATATATAACGTCATTCCTCCTGCTGCAACGTGTCTCCAATGCATGTTTAAGAATGCATTCTGCACCACGTTTTAGGCTATTTACTTATATGGAAACATATACTGTTATTTTCGTTGCCAAAGTGTATGAAAATCCATTTGCAGCGACTTGGTAATTTACTTAACTCTGGTAATCCATCAGTGCAAACAGTCAATGTGTCCGCTATTGCTTTGCTCAAACCTGTTGTGATGTTACAGGACATTGCAGCTGAAAGCGCAGCTTGATTTGCAAAGTCGGCGCAGGAATAAAATGCAATGAAAACCGAAGTTTGATTTGAGATTATGATGGATTACCTGGCTCAAGTAGATTTAGAGTCTCACACAGAGATTTTCACACATTATGGAAGTGAATGGAGTCCAGTGAGTGATGGTAGAACACATTCACAATTATCAGACACAAGATACAACATGTTAATAAACGAGCGTTAGAGGTTCTGGTTTACCTTTGAACAGCGCTCGCTGTTTCTCCGTTTCCTGTCTTCGTGCTGGTGGTAACGTTTTGAAAACTAAATTGTGCTTCGGTAATGATAATATATAATATACCTTAATATGTTCCCATTATTAACGAATATAAGTCAATGAATCCGTCCCATCCCCCAGTAATAGTGATAGTACAAAATGTACAATAGATGGTTGTTGTTATTTTTTAGAGACTGTTCATGTTAATATGGTTCTACCAACTACAGGTTACGGCTTTGTGGACTTTGACAACCCGACGGCTGCTTTAAAGGCAGTACATGCTCTAAAAACAAGCGGCATACAGGCCCAGATGGCGAAGGTGAGTTTGGTGCAGTCATACGTGTGTGTGTGTGTCTGTGCATGCGCACGCGGGGGGATATATTGCTTGTGAACATCTCTGTGGGTTTGTGCTAATGCGTGCACGTGTCCGGTGTGAGCTGGAGAATGACATTAGACTGGTCACATGACCTCGGCTGACAAGCTGTTCTTCCCGTGACCCCATTTACTTTCACTGTAGAAACCAGATGTCACGTCCCTCCCTGCCAAATAACCGCCTGTCAGTGCGGCACGTTACACACACACACACACACACACAGGACCACCGGCCCACACACTAACACGCCACCCTGGTGAGGTTTTACTCTGTAGATGAAACAGATTATTTTTTTACCAGTAGTATTACTTTGTCATTGGGTGTTAACAATTATCATTCATGCATATTGATGTCGGCATTTCTGCAGCGGGGCGCTGCAGCAGCTGCTTTGAGCCATTCTTGATCCTCTGTGACTAATTCAAAGTAACCAGTTTTCCATTTTCTCAAAAGTATTTTTAGACGACAAACCGGGTGTTGGTTGCATCGCATCTGTGATTTGAGCAGCGGCGGCAGAAATGGTCCGGATCATTCAATGTCTTTCAGTCCGTTTCCCGGTCCTCCGTCGCTGTGCTCAAATTCTCGATGGAGAGACGTTCATTGATGAGGGGCCGCTCTCAGGAGACCGGTAGCTAGGCTACGCCGCTCTCCTGCTGTTTCTAGGGAAGACCGTGGAGGCGCCAAGCTGCCGCACAGTTCAGATGCAGGGTGTTCCTGTGGGTGTGGGGAGGAGAGCTTATTCATGTTGTTCCCCCCCCCCCCTCCCCCCCAATGTCCTCCTCTAACCCGTAACCATATTTAAGTCCAAAACCCTAATCCACACCGACAAGTATAGTTAAAGAGAATAATCTATTTTGCCTGAGAAGAAATAGCGCAGCACTTTATCCACATTCATCCTCTAAAAAAATAAATGAAAGATTCAAGAGAAATTATTATTCTCTCTGAGGTCAAATGCAAAACGGACACGACATCCAATGCCCTTTTTCTCTTCTTTCTTCCGCTGTGTGAGCAGCAACAGGAGCAGGACCCCACAAATCTGTACATTTCCAACTTGCCTCTCTGTGTGGACGAGAAAGAGTTGGAGAACATGCTGCAGCCCTTCGGCCAGGTCGTCTCCACGCGGATCCTCCGGGACTACAGCGGCAACAGCCGAGGCGTGGGCTTCGCCAGGTCGGTGGCAGCGGTCATCGTTTCCCTCTTTAAAATAGCTGTGGGATAAACTTTCAGCTTTGATCATGAGGCTTGGATGGTGAATTGCAAAATGCCACCGAAAAGTTTGTAGCTGGTGCTGAATTGTTGCTGCGTAGCTGCTGTTGAAGGACAACGAATGCTTAACAAAAATGCGGTTAAAGATATGAACATTTGGAACACATTCGTTACTATGATGGTATGTTTTTCACAAAATATTACACAATAAATCACTTTAGTGTCATTGCAATATAGAGCAACCAGGAGTACAGTCCCACTTGCATCCATGAGTTTCACAGTGAAGGTGAAGTCAGGTCCTCTTTGCAGAAACTCCAGTATTTACACTGCTGTAATTGTGTGAAAGAAATCTGTGAAAAGTGTTTTGTGTTGACGTTTTTCATTGATGTCAAAATAACTTTCTCACACAAGCTTGTATTCGAATTCAATTGACAAACCTGCAATTGTTTGGAAGCCAAATTGAGACAAGCTCCCATTCATACACACAGCCGAGTGTATTTGTGTAGGTATTTTTATAACTCAATGTGCAGGGACAATTCTGCTCAACCCATGAAGGGGCTCTAACTCTAAAATACTGCATTGATTTTGACTGAAGATCGCCTCTGCTATTTGACAACCAGTCATTTTTTTATTTTTTTATTCAGGATGGACACAACAGAGCAGTGTAACGCCGTCATCTCCCACTTCAATGGGAAGTTTATCAAAATCGCTTCTGGAACTCTGGGTAGGAACAAATTGCACCTTTTTCTGTTCGTGTTCCCTCAGATGAAAACTGCGGAGGCGCTGATGATTGATCGCTTACTGTTGACATGCCGCCGTTTCGCTTTCGCCCACAGCTCCCTCTCAGCCCTTGCTGTGTAAGTTTGCAGACAGTCAAAGGAAGAAACATGCTCACAGTGGATTTGTTCCCAATGGACAGACAGGAGATCTCAGACTAGTACGTATCTGCTATCATCCTACATGCATTTCAACCTTCAGCCCCTTCTTTATGGGGAGAATGAGCGTATTGCAGTCCTTTATTGTGCCATGTGTATAAACTATGCCCATTTCTAGAAAGGAGAAGAAAAAAACTCCTTCCTTAAAACGATCTTTGAACCCTACATTATAATCTGTTGAGCCGTTTTGTGGGAAATGAACATTGTTTATCATCTTTATATATAACAGTAAATCAAACATTAACCCAATATAACTGAAAAAGGGGTTCATGCACTGATTATTATTTCACATAAGTTTCAGTGGTTTTTATACCAACGACAATCTGTAACCACATAATTTCCTCTCCTCAGGGTGCAATGACTCTGACCTATGACCCCTCTTCAGCAGCTATACAGAATGGGTGAGTTACACGACTTACTTTAACTATAGCCATAACTCCAGAGCTTTATTTTAAAATACTGGCCATTTCCTAGGTACTACCCATCTCCGTATCCAGTGAGCAACCGCATAATGACGGTGCAGCCTGCGATGTCTCCCTACATGTCTCCAGTCAATGCTTACCAGGTACTGCAGAACATCCTCAATGCAAACACGTTCAACTTCCAGCTGGATTTAAATCATCTCCGTCTCTCTCGGTCTCTCACTTCGCTTCTCTGTTGCATTTGAGGTAATGGTTTGTGTGTAAGCGCGTTGGCTGTATTTTTGCCTGTGTGTGGGTTGTACAGGTGCTATAGATGTAAGAACAGGTGTTTAGAAAAGCCGCACAGGGCCGCCGCTCACTTTGGCAGCTCTCTGTGGCGCCGGATGGTGGTTTGATTTTTCTTGTTTTCGTTTGAAGGGCTTGGTCATCCTGAACTCAATACGACAGTAAGCTTTGTAAAAAAACAAAAAAAACAAAACCTCTTTTCAGCAGATGCATCTTTTCTGAAATAGGTTGCTGCTCAGTGTTTTGTAATATTTCACCAATAAGTTGTGAATAATGACTTTCTGTGCTTCAGAAACCGATGTTAATCTGCACATGAAGGTTGAGTCTGGTTCAGCCCCCTTGATTAAACATTCAAACAAACACTTGCGTCTCCCACCGTCCCGCCCTTGGCCGAACTGGTACCTACCTTCTGCTTCAAAGGTTGTTCCAAAGATCCGAGGTTCAAAGGTTGGCAGCCCAAGAGCCCTCTGGTGGACACCAGCAGTGAGGGAAGCTTTAGGGATACAGAAACAATGAAGAAAAGATTCTGACTGTTGGTTGGTACGGGTGATGGACTTGCCCATGGGGGTTTATATATTGTACAAAAGCAGGTTACAGGGCATGCAGCTACCGGGATAACATCCTGCGCGCTTCAAAGAACTTCCAGAGACCCGCTGACCCCCTCAGGAGGGGGAGCCAGCGACTAAACCCGAGATTTTGTCTGGAGGTGAAAGACGATGTTTATCTAAGTCCTAATCCAACATATTGCAAGATGCGTGGCGTTTACGGGCCATCCTGATGTCTGGGGACACAGGGATTGTTTAAAAGCTCCTTGGCCAACAGAAGGGGGAACAGAGGGCCCCAAAAATCCCAAATGCTTGGAATTTTTCTGGGACTGTCATGGTTGACTTAAGGTCCCTGAGCAGAAAGAGTTACTTCGAAACGCAAGACTGGATACTGCGTATGCTGTTGCATAAGTTCTCCAAATTGACCATTTAGACTAATTCTGTCCTTGTATTCCTATTAAAAAGCGATGCTTATTATCATTTTCCAGTTTGTAACATGAAAGTTTAACTCAAGACTCCTCAATAACTCTCTCTTTCCATCTGCCTCTCCCTTCCTGTCTGACCCTCCACTAGGTACAGAGTCATTCTTGGGTGGCACATCAACCATATATCATGCAACACCCGGTAAGGGAACAACGGCATTTGCTCCTTTTTTTTTTTATTCATAGCCGCATAGACCACCTCCTATTCTGTGTACAGGAAATGGGTGTTTGGCGCCGCTACAACTCTGAGCTCACTGTGTGTGAACTTTAATCGGCCCGTTCTGCTTGCTGACACAATAAACGTTAAAAGCTTCCCCCAAACGTAGGAGGGGGCTTCGGAGGGGGGATCGAGCCCAGACGAGTTCTGGGAAATAGCCCCTGTGTATTTACATGTTGTAAGTGCTGTATGTGTGTGTGTGTGTGTGTGTGTGTCAGAGTGTGTATGAAAGAGAAATGGAACAACTAAAAAGTCATTCAGCCACCGCCCCCCCCGCCTCTCTCTGGACCCAGCAGGAAATGCCTGGAGCGGAGACAGTCTTGTGACTCTTTGACTCGTCCAACAGATGGTTTCCAGTGGAACAAGTGTCTCTGCTGATCTGCCCCCTCCCCCACTTTCTACTAGGAAACGGCCCATTCCCTGAAGGCGTCATGTCTAAAAGCAATATACCACATCTTAAAACAGTCCAGCGCCGGCAACGTCACACCTCTCTAGATGTTCTCATAGCGTAACGTAACCCGGGAGCACAGACTGCTTCACTGCTGATCAAAAAAACAACAACGCAATAAATGTTTTTACCCCAGCAGATCTTTCATAAATACATTTAGAAACGAACAAATGGCGCAATTTATCAGCACACATTACTTGCCCCTGTCGTTGCAGCGCACATGTGCTGTTTTACGAGGTTTTTCATCAGAATTGGATCATGTGATTATGTGGTTAAAAAAACGCCGCTGCTTTGTGTGCCAGGGTGCTGTGATGTCTCCCTCTGTGGATCCCTCCATGTCACTGCACCCTTCAGCCATGATTACTCAGCAGATGGGCCAGCTGTCACTGGGAAACACTGGAGGGGTAAGCGGAATTCTGGGATATCCTAAAGCGCATTTGGCATTAAATTGGCAATAAATAAATTAAACCTGAGTAGTATGATTGGATAAAAAAACGATGACCAATACGAGGACAAAATGTTTAATTTAATGCAAGTTGTAAAAATGACTGATTACTGTGACTAGAAAGATCTTTGATTGGGACATTTTGCGTGGACACTTCTTATTGTTGAGTGATTCCATTAGTCTGTTGTCAAAATACATTACAGTGTAATGTTCAAGTTTTTACTTTCATGTAATACCGATCAATAATTTCCTTTTTCTTATATTATCTTACAGTATATTTCAGCCAACCCTGGTGTCCAGGGAGCTTACATGCCTCAGTATCCTCCAATGCAGGCTGCACCTGTAAGTTCATTGTGTCTTCATCTCGATTGACTTTATTCAGGACATTCAGCTACATTCCTTCAACTGCAATCATATCCTACATCAATAATGGTTTCAGGGTATTTAAAACAGGCCGTGCTGCTCCATTCAGCTTCTATACACATAAGGCCTTGAACTGTTTTGGTCCTCTGAAACCATCAATTATCTGAGTCCAAACACAGTGAAGATGGTTATTATCACGCTCTAAATGAGAGATGCTGTGTGGCTTTTCAGGAGAATGGCACGCCGCAACAAGTGGATTCTTCCAATAACTCGTCTCCTTACAGTCAACTCAGCAAGTAATCACAGGTGTGCATCTGCCAGTGAGGCTTAATATGAATACGAGTTAGTTTTTTAAATCTATGTGGGTTAATGGTAATCTGCTGTTAAGTTTGTTTAGTTGTTATTTTTTATAACCGTGCTTCTGCTCTCTGTGTCTGTTTTATTTTAAGGTTATAGATTCCCGCCGTGTGAGCGAGAGGGCGGGAGGGAGATTGCCGATGACATCACAGTAGAAACAATTGCCGCCTTCTCTGATTGGACCAGACACATGAACTTTTTTGCACAGCCCCGACGTTTGTGGTGAAAAAAGGAGGACAGTGTAAATGGACTCAAGCAGTTGGCTAATCACAGGAAGAAAAAAAAAAAAAAGATTTATTTTGATAAAAAACAACAACATGCTCTTCTTTTTTCAAGGATTCTCAAACAAATGCCAGAGGACCCCCCTCCCTCCCCCCACCTTCCCCTCCCACTCCTCCCCCAGTATGATGTGATATTATAATGCATGAGATTGAGATAGTTTACCCCCCTCCAACGTGTCTAGGATTTTATAGTTCCTTTGTTTGTGATATATGACAAACAACTTGCAAAACTTGAAGTTTGACGTTTTAGAATATCTCAATTTTGGTTTTCAGCATTGCCACATAATAGCTTACAAAATCAATCCATGTTCGACTGTACCAGACAGCTGATGCAGATGACCATTTCATTAGGGAATTAATTAATCTAATATTGGAAAAGGTGCCTTCCTTACGTCACATCTAACATTCTCCAACATTGTTTCCATCGAACTTGATCAGGTGTCATATTTCTATCTGATTGATCAAACGTGTGTGTGTGTGCGTGTGTGTGAAATGCTTCGCTATCTAGTAGCAATAAAGACAATGAGAGTCCCACGGCAATACTGAGAAAAAAACAACCCTATGGTCACAGTCTCAGAGCAAGGTAACCCCTTATTTTCCCTCTTTCCTTTTCTAGAAAATTGTCGTGATATGAAACAAAAGAGCCGTACTTTTAGGAAATTACAAGTTTTACACCCAACGGACATCTTTAAAGGAGGGTTATTTTTTTTTTTTCTCTTGTGGTCAGTTCGACCAGTGATCTACCTCATGGTTCTGCCGGAGTCGGCTGGTGTTGTGGGGTTTGCAGGTAAAGCCCCCCTTTTTTGTTCACCAGAGCGGACGAAGCAGAACAAAAGCCACGCTCGGGAGCTGGCCCAATGGGACTTCTGCCCGCCTCGTCTCCCACATGCACCGTCTCTCCCTCCTCATCTGCAAAGGAACGCTGTGCTTTGGTTCGTCTGTACTCGTCATTGCTTCCGTTCTGGTGTTTCTTTTTCCCCAGCGCGATGAGCGCTGTCCGGCTGTGAGGCGGCTGGTTTTACGATGCGCTGGCTCAGTGCGTTTAGTTTGCCCATTCTTCTGCCTTTGCCATTCATGACAGATCTTTAGATGACTCACCACGTTCCCGTACCCTTTTTTCTTTTTTTCTCTTGCTTTCCTTTTTGAAAAAGACTCAAAGCAACAATCTTTGGTTCTACTGTTACTGTAAAGTTTTCCAATAACAACGCTAGCATTTAGCCAAATGTTGGTCATTTTGTTTTACACCAGCTTAATAGTACACATGCCAACCAATTTGCATCGGAAATTCAACAATTGTGTCTGAAGTACTTAAAGAGCCGCAGTATTTCATAAGAATAGGATGCTAGTTAATATCCCATGATTGACAGCATGTGTTTCAACGGTTTCACTTGTCAGAATGAGATTTGTAAATTATATAAATTCAGGGCCAAACGTGAAAAATAAGTGAGTGTTATTGTTTGCTTTGCATTTGTTTTCTTTTAAATTGGTGATTTCTCATGTAAAAAACCCTATACACTACTATGAGACAAGAAAAAAGGTGAAAGCTTAATGGTCGCGGTGCTGTTCTCAGATCAATAGTACTGTAGCAGCAAATGCTCACCTTTGGAAAATACAAGCGGTAACCTGATTGTGCTGTGTGTACTTCCCCATGCTGAACATTTCTTGCAGGAAAAAAATGTAAAAAGGAGAAAAAAAATCTTGTACATGTTATCGTCATTGCTTCCCCCTTCACCTTCAGCTGATTTTCAAACAACCTTCTCCTTGCTCTCCCCTTCGAAAACATTGGAATAAGAACAATGCTGAATAAAAGGCTCTTCTCTTTCTCACATATGACTCCTCTCTTTCATTGGCTGCTCCTTTCTGTTTTGTAATGGTGTGTGTTTGGTGTAGAGGATAATTCTGCTGTCATTCTTTATTTTCACAATTGCAACAAAGCATTGATGCATCATTTCATATTCTAATGCATTGGCCACCAAGCACATCCACTCCTCCCAGTACGGCTTAGTTTCTTTATTCTATATTCAAAGATAGATAATTGTCTAGACTGACTGGCCACTGAAGTTCATTTTACTAACAAATGTAGTAACATTTCCACATGCATTCATAAACATTTGGTGCGCTAATAACTATTTAGATTAGCAGGACGTGGATTTATCGATTGTCTTGAAATATCCATGTTCGCTGTAATTAAGGGACGTGTTGAACGTAATTATGTGACTAATTGATAAGTAGTTCCTGGACAGATTAAATAAATGAATCAGGCTTGTTGTATTTTAGTAGGATACATTTTTGGGAGTTTTAGTATTGTTGCCATTGTTTGAAAATTAGCAATCCACGTTTTGGATCAGAATTTGATTGATCCTGTTGTTATCCAGCAATTTAACATTTCTCTGATTGTGCAATGAATATCGAGAAGAAACCAAGAGGCTGTGCTGATTATCTGGCAGCAGAGGGCGCTGTGAGCCAAAGCGCTCCAGCATTTTGCATTTTTTGTCTCAAAATAGTGCAGACGGCTGTGCACTATTTCAGGCACACGGCCTTTGTAGTCTCGCTCCTCCACCGGATCTCCCTTCTTAAGCTCAGACTTAGCGCAGCTGATCCCAGAGACATAAAGGCACCATGCCACCATCTCTAACCAGTCAGAGGGGATCAAGATTAGCCCACACACCCACTGTCGGCCCCCCAACACATCACACATTACATACATACATGACCAACGTAGTGCGTGCGCACACACACACGTCAATCAAGTGCCTCTTGTGAGGGCCTCAGCCCTTTGAACATAAGATACATGCCTCGCTCTTTCCTCCCGTCCGCTCTCCGTCTCTCTTCTAATTCTCCACAGCTGAAGGGACACATGGTGCTGATCCCTTGAGAAGGGCCAAGGTCAGACCGGGGCCACAGACGCTAGGAAGAGAGGCCTGCTTCGGTATCCAGTGTCGTTCACTGAGCGTGATACACATCAGCAATTAAACACGCGGGATACTTCACGAAGGTGCAAGCTGCTGCCGCCGCCGCTTGCTGCTCCTGATGCTTTCACTGCAAAGTTGGTTCAAAAGAGTTAGTATCAAAATAGCCGGTTGTTCTGGAGGTGAAAGCACAGTACACCACTGACACTCATTTGTATTTGGGCTGTTGAATTATCTGGTTTCTTTTTTCCTTTCCAGTTCATTGTTTGGTCAATTCGCTGTGTGTCCGTGTCCCACAGCTCTACAATTATCAAACAGATCTGGTTACTACCTACACTACAACATATTTTTCGGGGGATTGGACCTGAATGCTGATCTGAACAATAGAAGTTCTAATCTGAACACGCTTTGATAAATACCACGGGTCAAAATAATTTCTGTTGTATGAGTCTTGATATAAAAACCTTTAAACATTTGAAGAACTTTAAGAGCCATGTGGATTGCTTTACTCAGCGTGCTGCGTTGGCACATTGCTGTCATTCGCGTTAATATGATGCTGTTTTAACAGACCAATACAGTGATTGTAAAGATACCCTGAGAAGAAGTTAGCCGGCCATGGACTTTATTGGCCAATAGTACTTCTAGCATGTATCCCTAAAATGTGTGTGTGTCCTTCAGGAATGTTACTGTCTGATTCTTCTTTGTTTCATTCTACCTATCTTCCTTTAGTACATTCTGTACTTGTGATAAGGGTCAAATGACACGATTTTTAGATAAATTTTGTTGATTATTAAATTATTAAAAAGAAAGAATTCTTGTAGTTTAACTTAAAAAACTATTGGATAATCTGAAAATAGTTTTGTGACAAAACTGTAAAGGGGCTGTTTTAATTTTTAATTTTATGAAGAGAGAGATACCTCCTCTGATGCTCTTCACTGGGTTTCTCTATGTTTAAAGTAGAGGATTGTGTCAAGTGGTTCTCTAAGCAGGACAAGTGGCACTATTGGAAGGAATGCTATGACTTTTTATTTAGACATTTATAATCCCCCAGTGGATGAATCCCAATGACTTGATGGATGACTGTACGGCTGATTGGAAGTTACTAACGAGACGGATTGCTGTACGATTTGGAAAGCCGCATTCGTGGTAACCAGAGGCTGACTTGTAACAACTTCACAGCTATTCATCCAGCGCAATCAATACTTCTTGGTCATCAGCAAATACTAATGACATTCCCAACAGCCCCAGCTGTACTAAAGTGCTCATAAGAAAAGACGATGAACATGGTAAATAGTACACCGCCTGAACACCAACTTGCTTGCATTGTTATTGTGCACACAGCATGTCTTTGCCACAGCACTGCAGCATGCAATTGGTTGCTGTTGAGAGACACATGCTAGAGAGTGGTGCGTGCTGCACGGGCTATTAAAGCCCTCCAACAGCATGGCTGTGAATTTAGGCTTACGTAAGAACCAACTATTCTACCGTGCAGGCCTGCGCTCTGTGATTTCGTTCCACTCTCACATGCGTGTATGCGTGCACCTGCATTCCAGCCATACCTTTGTACGAAGGAGGCTGTATCACAGCACCGGCACTCCCTCTCTCGGCGGCCTCCTCCTCACCACAGGAAGGAGTTGGACTTTTCCATGTACGCAAGCGCACACGATCCCAACTAATCACAGAAACTGTTTCTTTGAGTCAGCAGATGTGTGCAACAGTTCAGCTTCAGCCTCCAGATCGCTGCACTATCCCATCAGTCAGGTCGTCTCTTAATAAAGAAACTGGCTCCTGTGGACGTCTCAGTGCCGGCAGTTGTTGCTGTCACTCATTATTATCACGGCCTCCCCCCACGCGCACACACGGACACACACACTCACAGGCGGCAAGTTGGAGCCTGTGCATGTTGGAGCCCAGTATGCACACACACACACACACACACACACACACACACTCGCCCACTTCCAGAGACACACACACGAGCACACATGAGTCAAGGAGCACGGGCAGCAGGGTCACGCCAGCGCCATGCTTCATAAAGGGCGCCGTTACAATAGGTTTACTGTTACTCCGACGACTGCCGGGATACAATGGGACTGAATGTACTGGCCTGATGCTGCTCTGCTTCTCTCCATTTTTCCCCTGATGACAGGACAGACAGACTGAGGCGGGACAGCATGATATCAGAGGACGCCCCTGAAGGTGAGTTGGCTCATTGCAGTGTTGATGTGTATCTCCGTTTCTATGCATAGTAAATGTGTAGTGCTGAGATAGTGGTATGAGGGAGAGCAATTTATGGATCGCAGTCTTACTGATGCTCTTTAAAACTCATGTCACGATGTGCTTCAAATGCACGTGTCACATTTCATTCACTTCCCTGAAACATAACTGAAAGGCCAACAGGTTTTAAAGTTAAGTTATGGAGAGGGGAGGGGAGGGGAGGGTATATGGGATGACAAGAGAGGATACGGGAGGAGACGAGAGGAGACGAAGGGAGGCAAGAGGAGGAAGAGGAGGAGGATAATTATGCCACAAGAAGTAAACATAAAATGGCAATTTCACAGACAGACACTCCAACAAGGCTACAGGCTACGGTGGAGCAAGATACGGAGAACTGCGGGGAGAGAATGTCACTGAAGGAAAGGAGAGGAGAAGGGTGAGGGGTGAGGGGTGAGGGAGATTAGTAGAAGAGGTGGAGGGGTGTGGGGGGGGGGGTCGCTTTGGGGTGACAGATGGGACTCAACCAGATCCAGAAGGGCGTGGTGCCGAATTGTGAGATTCCTTTAAGTTGGGACAAGCAGCGATATTTGCTCTGCAGCTGTCTTGATTCAACACCTATGCCGCTCCCCCCTCGGGGGACACATGCGCGCCCTCATGCTCATATTTCATATCCTGCGATAGGCTTGCGTGCGTGCGTCAGGTTGAAAACATTCTCGTGACTCGACGACAATGATTCATGTTGTTAAAGATTAACTTTATCTTCTGTCATGGTGTCTCAGTTATAGGAGTATACAGACTATATTTGGTCACGATCGTGGCCTGTCTGTACTTTTTTATTTGTCTTCGGCCAGAGTTCAATCATTAGACAATTTTGGTGAAGCTTAAATCGGGCCTATGACATCCATCTGGCCATTGGTCCATCTGTCTGTCTGTCAATCTATCTATCTCTTTTAAATTCATTCAAACGTCTATCTCTTGATAGCAAAAGTATGTTGAAAGTAAACTAAAAGCTAAATGCACTTCAAGTGTTGAATGTAGAATACCTTTTTTGAGAAAATAAATGTTGTAAACATATTATTACATGAGGCCCATCTTGAAAAATACCGCGATTTTCTTTTAACATGTTTTTGTTGCCACATGGATTAATTATCACACGGGGCGGTTAGTTAGCAGTAAGAACGTGGTCTTTAATCTCTCCTCGCGCCCGCCTCCCTCTCTCACCTGGACGGAAGTACAACATAAAAGGCAGCGCAGGTAAAACACCCGCCTCCTGCATCCAGGTAGGGCGGTGCGACGGCGCTGCGCTCTTTACTCCTCACGGGGCTCAAGGGAGGCATGGCACTGGGTATGTTGCACTCCTGTGAATATGACACGACTTAAAGTATTCTCCTTCTGTTTCTGCGTGGGCAGTAACCTCGCGGACTAATGGGGCTTCTACTGCTGAGCCTGATTCTTCGCCACTGGATCGGCAGCGTGGAAGGTGAGTGCAGGAAAACACACGGCTGCACCTTAACGGTGCGCAAACAAAGACGCCCGGTGACTTAGGAGGAAGCTCATAAATGTGTGGTATTTATGACTTGGATTGTAAGATTTTTTTTTTATTGTATCATAGGTAATTTTTTTGAGACATGTCAGACATATTCGTATAGGTTTAATCATTGTAAAATTAACGTTTATCTTTTTTTATCACTCTTTTTTGTGTGGTCGGCGAGCTCACTGTGACTGTTGTGTGTTGCAGGCTCTTGTCCAGCTGGCAGCGCTGTGACCTGTGATGATTGCCTGCAGCTCAATTCTCACTGTGCCTGGTGCACGCAAGAGGTAAGCACCCAGGGGTGCATGTGTGACAACAGAACATATAAGCAGATGATAATAATGTATTTTTTCCGGGGCACTAGTGAGCAAAATGACAGTGGCTGTTTGTATTTCTCTCCTGATAAAACAATTTAAATGTACGGCCCATAAAACAATCTCAGTCCTCCACGCAAACGACAATGTGACTTTTTCCTTCACCTCTCAGAATTTCACAGACTGGTTTTCAGTCGGCGATAGATGTGACACGCCGGATATCTTACTAGAAAAGGGATGTGCCCGGGACCAGCTGGAGTTCCCTGTTTCCAAAAGTCACATCCTGCAGGATCGACCACTGGGAAAGAAGACGGGCAGCGTCAACAGCACCCAGATCTCCCCGCAGAAGATGGCGCTCCAGCTGCGACCTGGTACGCGACCCCCTTTTGATTCTATGATGTGGCCGACGAAGTGCTTCCTCGACTTCAGGCGAGAAATTAAGGTGTGTGTTGTGTTGTTGCACAGGCAGTCAGTTGACTTTCCAGGTTAAAATTCAACACACGGAGGACTATCCTGTGGACATCTACTACCTGATGGACCTGTCAGCATCCATGATCGACGATCTGGCCATGATCAAAGACTTGGGATCGTCTTTGTCTAAAGAGATGGCCAAGCTCACGAGTAAATTTAGAATGGGCTTTGGCTCCTTTGTGGAGAAACCCGTCCTGCCCTTCATCAAAATAACAGAGGAAGAGCTGGCCAACCCGTGCAGGTATACAACCGGTACTCAAATATCACCTTCAAAAACAACCCCGTTCCGAAACGTCAGTCATTTGGTATCTGACAGAATTCCCGCTTTCTGCCGTCCTGCAGCGGTGTAGCCTCAACCTGCCTGCCAACATTTGGCTACAAACACGTTTTGTCTCTAACGAGCAACACCGACAAGTTCAACGAGATCATCGCGAAGCAGCGCGTGTCGGCAAACATTGACTTGCCAGAATGCGGCTTTGACGCCATCATGCAGGCGGCGGTTTGTGGGGTAAGGTTTTGATTTTAAATTAATGTCTAAAAGATATGAACCAAGAGGGCGTCTTTATTTAAATTGGTCATCAGAGGATGAGCGAACACAATGCGTCTCCTGATAGGACAAGATCGGCTGGAGGAAGGACTCCATGCGGTTGCTGGTGTTTGTCAGTGATGCCGACTCGCACTTTGGGATGGACAGCAAGATGGCCGGCATCGTGATTCCCAACGACGGACAGTGTCACCTGGATAGCAACAACGAATACTCCATGTCCACGGTGCAGGTAAGTCCACAGGTTACAGAAGACTCTATTTTGATTTTTTGGTTTTGTTTATTTGAAGCCAGTCAGTTTCATGAGTCATTCTTAGGTCATCTGTGATTCATCTTTACAACGTCAAAGACATGTCGTCCCTCCTTCCAGGAGTATCCAACTCTCGGGCAGCTGGTTGATAAGGTGGTGGAGAACAACATCTTGCTGATATTTGCTGTGACCAAAGACCAAACACGCAACTATAAGGTGACAGCTTCTTTTCCTGAATGTGAGTCGGAGAACTGAAAAGGGCAAGTGAGTGTGTGTGAGCACAATGTTTACTAAGGGCAGCACATTAAATCTGCATTCTCATTCAACCTGTTCAAACGGGCCCTCTCCTCCCTCCCGCCTCTTTTCACCCCGAGACGAAGTCGGCCCACATTTCTGACGGCGACTTTAATGTTTATCGGTTGTATTGTTTTTCTCTCTCCCGCAGAACTATGCAAACATCATACCTGGTGCCACAGTGGGAGTCCTGGCGGCAGATTCGCGGAACATCCTGGAGCTGATTGTAGCGGCATACAAAGTAAATAAACGTTCTTGATATTAATCATCATAATAACGGAGGAATGAATGTTAAAACCAGTAGAATTGCATTAAGTACGTATTAAAATACAGTCATTTGGCATGTGAATGTTTCAAGCATAAATGATGCATAATTAAACCGTACATCGTATTCCCCCGGCACTAGTTTGTATCTCTTGTTTTTCCCTCTTTCATTCTTTCAGTCTGAGGTTTCTTCTTTCCCTTCACCGCTTTGCATCAGCCTGCCCGACAGCAAGTCTCTGCTTGTCTGATCTCCTGTCCCTTCTGTCTCTCTCTCTCTGTCTTTCTGTTAAATCCCCCCCGTGAAGGAAGGGACTCTGGAGGCGCGTCCTCTATTTAATTCATCACTTATGTTGATCACACTCTTTAGTCTCTGAGGGGTGAGAGGCCTCTTTCATCGCACTGATTGAAAATAGTTGTGGTTTTTCACAAAACTGAGGGACATTTAGTGATAGATGATTCATATTTACACTTGGCTGCAATTTTGGATTATTGTTTGCAGCACAGTGGATGACCGCTTCACTACCCTGCAATATATTTACTGAATAATAGTGAAATCTTTACTTTAATCCGTCCTCAGTTGTGTGTATTCCACAAACGCTCCCAGTGTTTTCTCTTTCTTAGCCACACTGAGGGCAAAGCACAATCAAAGGCCCACAGGAAACACATAATTTACGATGAGTTAGCACCCAGACAGGCCCTCGCAGAGTTCATTAGTCAGTCAAACGCAGTCTTTCCTCCGGCTGAGGTGAGCTGTCTACTTTTGCCGTGATGCTTTTGTGCAGCGGCCCAGCACACCTGGGAGGATGACGCACCCAAAAAGAGAGCTAGACTGGTGCTTTTCCAATTGCTTCAGCAAGCTACAAGTCAGTGCAGGTTGCAAGTGTAATTTCCCTCAAAGCTGATTGTGATTTCGCTATTTTTGGGGACGACAACCTTTTATAGAGCCATAGTGTTTCCATTCAGAGGATAAACATGCGCTGTTCTTCAGGAGCTGCGTTCAGAGATCGAACTGGAGGTCCTTGGAGACACAGAGGGGCTCCAGATGTCTTTTACAGCCATTTGCCCAAATGGGGCTGTCCTCCCTGATCAAAAACGCTGCTCCAACATAAAAACCGGAGAGACGGTCAGTTGTTTTTGCTCCCATTTGCTCTTTCTTTGTATTTGTGTAGCACCTTTCAGGTTGTGCAGTTCAAAGTGCTTAACAGGTGACTGACAAGCTGATAAGAGCTGAAGAAATGTATAAAGATAGGAACAGGAAAATACCCGGACACCCTCCTCAAAGCAGCATATGATAACAAATGATGGTAGTTGAATAAATAAGATAATTGTAGAGCAGCCCAAGCAAAAGCCAGGCTAAAAAGAGAACCATATAAGCACCTAATAAGATAAAAAGATTACTTTATTTATTCACAAAATGGAAAAAAATGAAAGAAATTGAATGGTACAACTGGTGGTATCTTAATTTGCAAAAAAACCCCGAGATTGATTTAACTACAGTGCCTGTGTTCTTCATGTCTTCGTAACCGGTTGACTTATTAGGCTGTTGATGAGTGTAGACTGTGGAGCCACATAGAGGAATAAGCTGCATGTGGTCACACGTGCACAATTCATTGTTAACCTTCCTCTTCCTCTCCTCTTCGCTCCTCAGGTAGTGTTCAACGTGTCCGTGGAGCTCCCGGGTTGCGTGTCGGAACCTCTGCACTTCTCCCTGAAACCGGTGGGTTTGCGGGACAGCCTGGAGGTGGAACTGTCGTCTCTGTGCTCGTGTGACTGCCCGCCGCGGCCCCCCGGAGCCAACGGCAGCCGGTGCGCCGAAGGCCAGGGGGCTTTCCAGTGTGGCGTGTGCGTGTGCCGGCCGGGGTTCCTGGGAGCGGAGTGCGAATGCAACGAGGAAAGCGCTTTGTCGAGCAACTGCGTCGCCAACAACGAGACGGAGACGTGCAGTGGACAGGGGGACTGCTTCTGCGGACAGTGCGCGTGTCACCCGTCCAGCTTTGGACGCGTCTACGGACCTCACTGCGAGTGCGACGACTACTCCTGCGTTCGCTTCCGCGGGGAGCTCTGCGGAGGTGGGCCATTACGCGTGATGAATTGCGCGCGTGTTGCCTGGCGTCGAGCTTTGATTCACTGATATAATCCGTGTGTGCGTGTGTGCGTGTGTGTGTGTGTGTGTGTGTGTGTTTGTAGGCCACGGGGTTTGTGACTGCGGGGAGTGTCACTGCACCAGAGGCTGGACGGGCGAGTATTGTAACTGCAGCAGCGGCGCGGAGGCCTGCGCGTCAGAGGACGGCGCGCTGTGCAGCGGGCGCGGGAGGTGCGAGTGCGGCCGCTGCGTCTGCTCCGTGCCCGGGGCGTCCGGGGACAGGTGCGAGAAGTGCCCGACGTGCGGAGACTCCTGCAGCGCTGCGAGGTGAGATCCCGTCGGCCGGTTCCGCCGTGATTGTTGTTTCTTTACCTGGAAGATGTGAGTTGTCGGTTCGTCGCGCCACACGATCCGTCTGTTCTGTGGAGTACAGGGCTATCAGGTTCTGGACCCCTTGTTCACATGTGTCTACACCTTCCATGTGACATCAAAAGACCCCCCCCCAAACAACACAGCACTAAGAGATTTCCTTGGTCCATTGTGAAGCAGCTGTCAGGTCTAGTGCCATTTGAAACCACTGTTACAGAGGACGAGGGTGGTGGAGAGCGAGCGAAGCCTTGGGAACGCTGCGATAAGTGACGGACGCTGGGGCTCCTTTGTGCTCACCGTGTCAGTGATTGAGGCCTCAGTATTCAGTCTGAATTATCTCCAGGGAAAACTTGACATTTGGTCCCCCCCCCGCTCTTGTTTTGACACCAGGACTTGTGTAGAGTGCCACCTGCAGGATGAGGACGATGTCGAGTTGTGTGATCAGAAGTGCAGCGTCCCAAACATTTCCGTCAACGCAACAGCAGGTAAAAGTTCACACAAAACATCAGTTCTAAGAAATCAAGTTCTTTAGAAATGATTCAGTATCTCAGACTATTTTTTCTGCACTAGTTACATTCATTATTGACAATTTAATAATGATAATAATTTCCAGAGATTGATATACTGTTCAAATCACAGTGTGTTAATGTATTTGAGGTGTAACCGTTACGCACAAGAAAGATCTGCATCCGTCAAACTTGAATCACAAATTTTGTAAAATGACATGATAGGGTCAAATTATCATGATATGTTAAAAGTGTAAACAGACGTTTGTATTATGTCCTCGGTCTTGTGGAGTATATGTAAAAAATGTCAGTTTCGGTTTTTAGTTTTGCTCTTTTGGCAGCCAAACTGTTAGTGAGAGATTTCATGGAAGAGATTAACAAGGAATTCTCTAAACTATCACTGGCGATGAAATAACGCAATGGCAACAAGGGCACAGAATCCTCTCTCTAAGGGAATTATATTCTCTGCTAATTTATACATTAATAGCAAAGTAGCGTGAAACAAAATCAGTAGATACCTGGAAGAAAATTCAATTCCTGATTTGAAATATAAAATAAAGACCAAATTAGAAGCCTATAGTTCTTTTTTAATGAAAGAACTACATTGTTTACGGGACATGCACCAACATTACCGCTGTACAAATGCACTGTCGGCCCTTTCGGCTCCATCACTTGACTGTGCTGTTAGTGCTTGTTGTTGCTGGAGTTTTGATTTTTTGATAGTGGCATCAACACAGGGCCGTGCTTAGTTTCCCCGTGGTTCAGAGCTTTAGAGGAATGCTGACATGCATCGACTCGGGTATCTCTCTGAAGCCTGCAGACCCCCCCGCCACCCCAACACAACACCATCCATGTCCATTCAGGCAGCATCGGACAATGGGGAAGAGATTATTTACCTTGTCGTACAGGCAGAGCTATTGTGGTGCATGTGAATGGCCACAGGACCCCGTCTTCCTTTATAGAAGAGATTATTTTAAAGCCACCGTACTTGTGCAAGCTGAGAGGTATATCTGATTATCACAGAGGATTTTCCCAGCTTTAGATGTGAAATACAATGATGCGGTCCACACACACACACACCAGATTGTAGTCTTTGATATGGAAAGCACACTGACAGCACAACAGAGGCAAGTGTATCCTTTTACATTCCCAGCACAATGCGGAATGGGAAGATGATATACGACGGATTCATGCCTTGCTCATGGACATGTTGTATGTTCACCACTCCCCTCAGACCACGACAAGAGCCCTTCTATGCAATGCACGCTGATGATGGAGAATGAGTGCTGGATCTCGTTCAACGTGGTCGAAGGGGAGACGGGGACCACCGCCTACGATCTCCAGATGTTAGGTAAGCTTTGCATTAATGTAGCAAACAGATGACAGAAACCACGCGGGGCGTCCCAGTGTAAGGCTCATGTGTTCCTCTCCTGTCCCGTATCAGGTTGCCCCGAACCTCCAAACATCCCCATGATCATTCTGGGCGTCTCGCTTTCCATCGTGAGCATCGGTGTTATCCTGCTGGCCGTGTGGAAGATGCTGGTGTCGGTCCACGACCGTAAAGAGGTGGCCAAGTTTGAGGCGGAGAGGTCAAAGGCAAAGTGGCAGACGGTGAGATATGTCTGGTGATTTCTTTATATTTGTTATATTGTCAACAAACGCCCCATCTATTCTCAATGCATGAATAATAATACACCAATACAAGCGTGCAGAATTAGCTTTTAGCAGTTCCTGTTTGCTACATACCCATTAATGTAAAAACAACTGTCAGTGGATTACTTTAATGCAGAAGAATGGTTAAAAACGTGAGGATTCTCAGGAAAATCCATGAGCTGAAAGGACTGCTGTTTGTATATTCATTTCTAAGCAACATATTGATGTTTAATCTCAAATAAACTAAAAATATAAAGATAATGATATCCTCGAGAGTGCAAACACACTGAATCTAAAGTCTGGAGGAAAAATGTCCGAATCTCTGACCTCCTTTTTAAAGGTTTAGCTTTTCACTGGGAAAAAAACTGCAAGCCGTGGACAGGCTAATATTTAGGGCTATTCTTCATGTTAACATCACTGAAAAGCGATTCTGAATGTTAATTTGTGTTTTTTCTTTGTCTGTCTTCAGGGAACAAACCCTCTGTTCAAAAGCTCCACGTCTACATTCAAAAATGTAACTTATAAGAGCAGAGAGAGGGAAAGGATTATCACACAGGATAACTTCTGATGACAACTGGAGGCAAATCAACATCTCAATGCACTTATGTTTGTGTTTGTGTGCGTGTGTGTGTGTGTGTGTGTGTGACAGAGAGAGAAAATACTTTTTTGTACAAATCTCTGTTGATTCAGAGATGTTCTAACATAGTGGACAACACTGTGAACAGACAAATACTACACTACTGCTGCTGTAAAAGTGCACTATCGATGTACTGTTAAAAATGCACTTCCCTGATACATGGTCCTCCAAACTCTAGATGTTTGGATACTTTGGAAACATGCAGCATGGAAAGAAGAGTCTACACAGCAATTCAATTTGAACTCTGAGCTGGTGTTTATATTGTCCCAATCTTGTCAGTGTTAAATCAACACTCAACAAAGTGTTGAAAATTTAACTCGGAATAAGTGTCAAAAATAAATCTGCTCAGTGTTAAATACACGTTGTTAGACCCGACACCAAGAAGTGTGACACTGGATAATGACTCCAGCTCTTTCGTACAATTGACTGTGTAACAGTTGAATCAACTTTTTGCAGTGCGATTTCAACTCTGCACTTACACCGGACAATTAACTCTTTAAGAATTTTGCTGTGTACACGTGATCTACTACTGAAAATAATCTTCTAATGAATGTAAATATACAGGTGGATTATAATGTTTTTTCTTAATGCTGTTTTTTCTAATGGAGAGGCTGAGCCTTTGGTGTTGGTAATTTAGTTTGTTAGTGGCATGGCACATAAATAGAAGTAAATAATAAATTGTTGTGAAATGACACTTGTACAACATGGAGACTGACAGATATTTAATTAGTTGTCACACCAAGAAACTATTGACATTCTAGTTTGTTTACAGTGGGGCAGTTTTATAGTTGTTTGGGGTTATTTTATTTTTCATATAAGGTACTTTTATCAGCTGGGTCCTGCCTGTTTACACTCTATGGTGTTCCTGTAGGAGGGATTTGTGTTTGTGCGATCAATGTGCATTTTCCTCAATAAAGTTGTGCTTCATCCGAAAGAATAATGCATGATAATAATAATAATAATAATAATAATAATGGTAAACTGTAACACCCACTGATTCTGGAGCTTGATACACAGGAGGAGGTCTCCTTATAGACTTCATGATCCAACCTCATGAATTAAATCGCTGTATTGTAAAAGTCCTTCATTGGTAAAAGGGTACTTGAGATGTAGCAACATGTGAACTGTTTATAAAATTCTTACTGTTTTTTGATATGTCTGGTTTTGTTTTTTTTGTCATATGTCAAGTACTTCAGAGTACAATATCAGAGTACATCATTTAAAAGTTCCCTCAGTGAAGTAGTGTTATCATCGGAATAAACCTAAAGTCAAAGTACCGTTTACAGAGAGCGTCCCGCTTCAGCATAATGAGTATATGGGATTATAATTACAGGCGCATGAATGTTTGTATCCCGTTTTGCTGCAGCTGGTAACGTTTTACTTCGTCTCGTCTCAACCAAACACAACATAATTAACGTGAACACAAATCTGCCCAACAACACCGACACGTCGTCGAAGGCGTTTTAGTTTAATGCCTCCGTGTCTCTGTAGACAGATGGAACAGTGAAGGTGAGAATAACAGCAGCAGGAATGCGGCTCCTCCGTCAGACGTGACGTCACTGCTCCGCAAAAACTTCACTCGCCACAAAGTTTCTCTCAGCAGAAGAAGAAGAAAAAAAAAGAAAAGAAAAGAGAAAAGAAAAAAACCCTCAGTGAACCCAGAAAGAAACTCAAGCCTCCGTCGGCCCGAGGAATGTGCGGACATCGGCTCTTCGGCACCGCGTCCCGCCGTCGAGATGTTCGTACCGCGGCTCCGTGTCGTGGACTCCGTGGCGCTCGTGGCGGCTGTTTGTGCGGCGGCGCTGCTGGCGAGAAGCTGCGTGCGCGTCGCGGCCGACGAGGAGGACGACGAGGTCCTGGAGAAGAAGCAGCTCGCGGACTTCTACGGTGGGTCGACGCATCTGGCCGCGGCTGCTGCTCGGTCGCTCTTTTATTTTTACATGTTAACGACACCCCCCCCCCCCCCCCCCCCACACACAAACAAAAAAAAAAACAAGGGAAAAGTTGGCTGCGCGTGTGTCAATAATAAAATGTTTGTGTAACTGCAGCCCGGTGCAGAAGTTTGCCTCTGGAGCCGCCCGGCTGCTCGCGTTGTAACAGTGGGGTTTAAAAATAGAAGCCAAACACGTCCGTGTTTTGTCCCAAAGAAGACTGTTCACACCTTAAAACCCCCCCCAAGTAAAATGTGAACAGGAAAACATATGTTTAGCATGTTGCATTTTTATCTTATTCAGCTGCAATGATTTGTGGTCGGTGAAAGATTTGAAACCAGCACTGATTGTAGCTCCTTTTATCTGAAGATGAGCATGTTGCATGTTACATTATAGTGGAGGACATCTGTCATTAATGGATCAACATCTGGAACCTTGTTACAGTACCTTTGAACCGTTTGTTGGACATAACATGCTATTTGAACGACGAGCGTATAATATTTTAACAGACTAAAACATTTAGATGATTCATTAAAATAATCCAAACCACATTCAAAGATTTCAATGATTGATTCTTTCAGTCTTGGTTTTCTAATCGTGTCTTACCATCGTCATCGTATTTGTTTTGGTGGGCGGCTTTCATTGCTGCCATGTGCTGACATTCAGTCTCCATCCTGGTGTCGAGTGAGAGCATTCAGTTATTATATGTTGGAAGATCACATGTTACATCAGGCCTCCGTTTAGCCGGAGTTTTGCTCCGTTTAAGTGGAGAAAATAAATAAACAGGTAGTATTCTTACTTTACTTTCCATGCGGACGTTCTGTGAGATATCTTTGCACCACACAGCATACTAATGTATTCTTTTTGCCTCCTGGCTCCCCAGCGAAGGGTGTGTTCATCCTGGAGAGCGAGCCGCTGAAGCGCTGCGTCACGGTGGACCGCTCCAACCTGGTGCTGGAGGACTGCGAGCGGCCCACGCGCCGCATGCTGTGGAAGTGGGTCTCCCGACACCGCCTCTTCAATCTGGGCACCAGCTCGTGCCTGGGCCTCAACGTCTCTGACACCACGCAGCCTCTCGGCACGTTCGAGTGCGACACGGCGCTCCCCGTGCTGTGGTGGCGCTGCAGCGGAAACGGACTGTACGGGGCGTCCCACTGGAAGGTGTCCGTGGCCGGACGTTTGGTGGTGGTGAAGAAAAACTCCTACCACGGGTGGAAACGGTACAACACGCCCGGAGAGGGGCCGTGCTCTTATCCCTATGAAGGTAAGGCTCGCGCGTGTCTCAGCGACGTCTGACGCACAAAAAGAAAAACTCACACCGGGCTTCGTTGTGTTCGCAGATGTACACACGCTGTTGGGAAACGCACACGGCATGCCCTGCTCTCTGCCCTTTAAATACAACAACAAATGGTACTCTGAGTGCACGACGGAGGGGCGCGAGGACCACCTGCCCTGGTGTTCCACCACCACTCGCTACGACGAGGCCGAGAAATGGGGCTTCTGTCCGGTACACGGTAAAGAAGACACAGCAAGAAATGAACTTGAGTGGACAGATTACAGCGCGCACACCTCTTTTATTACATCACAGAGCTTTTTCAACTCCGACTCTCACCTGTAAACAATCTGCACAGGGTCCGTTTCAGCTCCCCGCTGCCTTTTTAATCCGTGGCGTTTTTTTGTAGATTCCAGTTGCGACCATTTCTGGGAGTCAAACCAGGAGCTGCGTGCGTGTTACCAGTTCAACCTGCACACCATCCTGACCTGGAGTCAGGCGCTGTTAACCTGCCAGGCGCAAGGGGGAAATCTGCTCAGCGTCACCAGCCTGGCTGAGCAGAGGTACATCCGAGGTACGTACGGACGAAACATCCATCGAGTACTCGACTGCATCCACAAACGCTACCCTTGCAACTGCGCGACATACGGATTGTCCCATCATTCCTCAGTCTGCTGTGTTGGTTACTTTTTACATCCCACAGTGGAGTGTGAGACCGAGAGCTATTTATTTGTACGGAAGTCAGACACGATTCGTTAAAAAAACTCGGACAACATCTTGTGGTAGATCGACTTTCGAGTGTCGGGGCGATGGTGTGGATCGGGCTGAACCACCTGAAGGATGGACGGGGGTGGCAGTGGTCTGATGGAGCACCTCTCTCACTGGTCAATCTGCTCACAGGTATGATTATTATTATTAGTCTGTGGGAAGACGGTGTCTGTAAAATGGGATTAAATTTTTTTTTTACATGAATAGTGATATGAACATTTATTTATTGATCTTGTCAATAAGCAAGGCAAGGCAAGGCAATTTTATTTGTATAGCACTTTTCATACACAAGGCAGACTCAAAGTGCTTCACATTATAACATTTCATACAATAAAGTGAAATAAAATGCAGGAACTAAAAGACAATTGAAAACAGCAAATAAAATTATAAATTAAAATCTTATTTAAATTGTTTAATTAAAAGCAGAGGTTAAAAGTGCAATGTAGGTTAAATTTAGCAGAAGGCGAAGCTGAACATAAAAGTTTTCATTCTTGTTTTAAACGTGGTCAGAGTTGGGGCAAGTCTTAAATCTTCAGGAAGTTTATTCCAGCTGTTTGTTGCGTAGTAACTAAATGATGCTTTCCCATGATTTGTATTTACTCTGGGAATCACTAACAGATTGGTGTCAGAAGATCTCAGTGATCTTGAAGGCTTATGTAGTGGAAGCATATCAGTGATATACTTTGGCCCTTAACCATGTAGTGATTCATATGTGAGCAGTAGGATTTTGAAATTAATTCTCTGACATACTGGGAGCCAATGTAGGATTTAAGAATTGGTGTAATGTGCTCACATGTTTTGGTCTTTGTTAGAACTCTAGCAGCAGCGTTCTGAACAAGCTGGAGCTGCCTGACAGTTTTTTTTGGAAGACCTGCAAGGAGACCATTACAATAGTCTAGCCTACTAGTTATGAAGGCATGTACAAGTGTTTCTAAGTCTTGAGCTGACATGACCCCTCTAAGTCGTGCGACATTTTTGAGGTGGGTGTAGGCCGATTTTGTTACTGATTTGATGTGACTCTCCAAGTGTAAATCTGAATCCATAATAACCCCCAGATTTCTGGCTTTATTTGATGTTTTCAGGGACAGAGAGTGAAGGTGTTGGGTTACTTTAAACCTTTCTTTTTTAGCACCAAATACAATGATCTCAGTTTTGTCTTCATTTAGTTGTAGGAAATTTTGACACATCCAGTCTTTGATTTGCTCAATGCACTGGCACAGAAGATCTATGGGGCGATAGTCGTTTGGTGATAGCGCTACATAGATTTGGGTGTCATCAGCGTATGGTGGTCAATTTTGTTTCTTTGCATGATTTGTCCTAGTGGGAGCATGTAGATGTAGAAGCGATCGTGTGGAGATCATACGCTCCAGAGTGAGCATACAAAACGGTTGCTCTCGAGTTCAATGAACCAAACGGATCGTAAAACGTGTGCAAGGCTTTGAACAAATGCACGAGCCAGAGAAACATGTGACGCTGGAGAACGAAGAGCAAAATCCATAAAAACGTCTCCTTGAAGATGGCTTAGTCCTTAGTCCGGTCAGTGATATGCAGCACTGTGATTGCACATATAGTACAATGCATGGTGCCCTGCTACACCGCTTGTAACGTAATGAGAAATATATCTCAATATGCAATTCATTGCTCGTGTTGTGGAAGCAATAAATGATGTCCAATGTAGTTTTAACATTCAAAAGAGGTTTACACGCTTGACAATTTCTCCTTTTTTAAGTTGAATTTCAGTATGAAAGGTTGTTCAACATTGTCATATTAACCCAATAACGGAAAACACAAAGACGTCTTGAACTTTATTTATTGACCAAGAACAAAATATACAAAATATTATTCTCACAGAAAATACACATTTATTTATGTATTTATTTATTGCTTTATTGTTATTTCTGTATTTTGTCAGGGGAAGCGTTAGTTGCCTTTTGACGTACGGAATTTTAATATCATCGATGACAATGAGGAAGAAAAACACCCTCACCTTTGACCCCCGTCACTGTGTTCCCATCAGCTCTGCCGGCCAGCCCCCTGCAGGACAACAGGCAGTGTGGAGTGTACAACTACGAGGGCATCTGGCATGGTGCGTCCTGTGAGTCGGCTCGGCCCTACATCTGTAAGAAGACGCCCAATGACACCCGCAGAGCAGAGCCACTGGGTGAGAGCTCATGCCGATTCACCTGACCCGCAGACGAGGCCTTACTCAAAAGCAGAAGTCCTACTCAAAAGTGATGACTAGTGAGACCAAACGCACAACGTGCAGGAGGCTCTGTCAGCTCTTGTAGCTTCAGGCCTCAACAGCTGCACCGCACCCGGGGAGTTGACTTCTGACCCCTCTCCGTTGCGCTGTTGGTGACTAGACAAAACAATGTCCTCTTTGAATGTGTTTCCTTTTTTCTTGTCTGTCCTGGTGGGATTCCTCCTCCTCTCCCATAGAGAACTGGCAGTATGTCCGCACAGAGTGCGCTGACGGCTGGTGGCCACATAATGGAGTCTGCTATCGGCTGCTGGCGGACACGGAGACGGGAACCTGGGGGGAGGCTTCCGATGCCTGTCGCTCTCGGGGGGCAAACCTCACCAGCGTCCACTCCCTGTCCGAGGTGGAGATGCTGCTCAAGCTGCTGACTAACTGTAAGCAGCGCCGTGCAATACAGATATATGACGTGTTCTTTTGATTTTGACACTGGGGGTGCAACGAGATTATTTTTCCGCCTGTGCCTTCTCTTTTTTTGTAGTGTCCGGGGAGAGTGGGGAGGTGTGGATCGGCCTCTGGAAGCCGCCGTTGTCACCGAGCGTAGTGTGGTCGGATGGCTCACCAGTAACTCTCACTTTCTGGCACCAGTATCACCCTCCTCACAACATGACGGATGCAGCACTCTGTGTTAAAGCTGACAGGAAGGTCAAAGCAACCTATTTCTCATTTGACTTAGGTCAAACGCTTATAACTCGTTTGTATACACGTTTTGGGTACCGGCTGGTGTAAACTATGGCTTTGACCTCTTGCACAGGAAGGTAACTGGCTTTTTGCGGCGTGTGATGAGCGACTGCCCGCTGTGTGCAGCAGAGAGAGCCAGAAAGCCGCTCGTCAGCCCGGAGCCCCGGACGAGGAATGTCCCGAGGTAGGAACACGAGCACGCATGTGCGTTCATCGGGGTCAGATTGTACTCAACACCTGGTGCACGACATGGAAATACAGTTTCTAGTAGCTCGACCTTTCACCTAAACACGCAGCGGAAGGGGGTCAATAACAACATCTCTTGATTACGTAACATTAACGATTTTTTTACCTATTTCCTAAGAAGCAACCCATTGCGGTTTAAGGTTGTTCCAGTAAATGCTGATGTCAGTTTATTTCTTAAATAACAAAAAACAGGTCCAGTGAAAAATGGATCACGCATAACAAAATCGGATTGTTAAATCTTCATTTTATCGGTTTGACTGCATTCTGCTGAAGAAAAATGAAAGCCCGAAGTGACCTATTTCTGACTTGGTCGAGCAGATTAGGTTTACAATGGCTGCACGCAGATAAGGACACGCCTGCTGCAGTTCAACTTCTCAGCTAGTTGACCCTTCAGAAAGCACAATGAGCTGATTCACTCCGCTGCTGACGTATTGTCTGGCATTCATGTTGCTCCTTGACTCTGTTTACAAGAATATCAGACTCCTGAGTCATGGAGCTACTCCATGCCCTGGACCACAATGCCAAAAATGGCCTTGAAGGCACAATATCAGTGGAAACGCTCGAGCAGCTTCTGATATTTCGAGCATCAGCAACAAAACCACATGTTCTGCTTGAGTCTCTTTATAGTCTGTGTTGGAAATGTTTACTGTTGTGTCGTTTTGTTGTTAAAAATCCTCCCCGACACATTTGAGGTAAACAAAAATGGTGTTTGCTCAGGCCTCTGGACCTCAGTCATAGGGAGGATGGGGGGTCGGTGGGATATATGGCTAATTGACACCATGTGTCAAAACACCTCCACACAGACAAATGCACATACTTATGCATAGAACCTTTGCTCCAGATTAGGAATGTTCCACTTTCAAAGATTTAAGTTGAAGTGCCACTAACAATACCCGACTTTTGATAGACCTTAAAAAATATTTAAATCAGGTGCATGTTAAGCATGTTAGCATCCATAACATGCACCTGATTTAAATACAGTACTGTTGTTGCTGCAGTTTTAGTGGAGGAATCCAAATTTCTCCCGTACTACATGTAAGCCGCTATACAAGAACATAAAATAAAAAACATCAAGTCTAAGATCAAAAAGATTTTCAATCCGACTCAACATTCAATGCTAACCTTAGCTAATGGCAACTTTAGGTTGCAATCAAAATCGACGCGTACATGTTTTTTAAAGTTTGCATTCCTTCTTTTAATGCTCATTACTTATTTCTGGTCCTCTGCAAAGTTACTGTATTTGATGATGTTGTCGTGTGCAGCGTAAAAATAAGCTGCAGCTTGAGGTAGAACATGCTGACACGGTGTGTCATAAGTTGACTTTTGTTTTGTTGATGCTGCAGGGCTGGAAGCGACATGGCCACTCCTGCTACACCGTGACTAGCCATGAACAGAGCTATGAAGATGCTCGGATGGGATATTACTGCACCGCTCCTCTCCTCACGGTGGAAAACAGGTGCTTTAGGCAGCTAATGGTTGTGTTTTATTTGTGGCAGCACTGGAGTCTCGCTCCTCATCCTCTGGTCTCCCTCATGCTGGCAGGTTTGAGCAGGCGTTCGTCAACAGTTTGCTGAGTGAGAGAGGGGCCGACGGCAGCCGGTATTACTGGATCGGCCTCATGGACGTGGAGAGGAGGGGAGAGTACAGCTGGCTTCTTCCCAATAGCTCCTCGCGGCCCCTTACCTTCACAAACTGGAACAAACACCAGCCAGGTGAAATGGAAAATGTTTATTTTCTAATTATAAACGCGCATATCGCGCTTTGCTTCGATGTGGGCTAATTACGGCTAATCCTTTCCTCTGCTTAGTCAGCTCCGGTGGCTGTGTTGCCATGTCCGGCGGCAGTGCGTTGGGTCACTGGGAAGTCAAAGACTGCAAGTTGCACAAGGCCTCGTCTGTGTGCAAGCAGAGCATCAGCAGCTACCACGACGTCCAGTCGCCAGAGCACCACATTGACAGCTCCGCCCCCTGTCCTCCAGGGTGGGAATCACACTCTGGGATGCTCTACTGTTTCAAGGTGGGATCATCCTCATCTTTTTCTCCGGGCCCCCCCCACCTTTTCTCTTCCTTTATGTTAGCAAATACATATCTCAAAAAAAATGTTTCTAATTTAGATTTAAAAATGGAAATGAACACTATGACGTTCACCCAAAATACTTGTTCTGTCCCTTGTTTGTCCCGTGCATACATATATATACATCATCAGAACAGGACATGGATAAACACAAAACGTAACTGGGTTGCAGGTGTTCCACAATGAGAAAGTCCTGATGAAGCGTTCCTGGGTGGAAGCGGACTTCTTCTGCCAGGCCCTCGGGGCTCAGCTGGCCAGTTTCTACCACTATGAGGAGCAGGTGTTTGTTAAGCAGCTGCTCAGTACCATGTTTGACGGGTTGGTACTTGCTTCTGGGCCTCGTCCGTGCAGGAATGTTGTGGGAACTGATAATGCTTCAGGTTAATGTGATGTGCATGGAGCGGCGGGTACAGGATTTATTGATTGGCTTTTGTTGATCAAATGGGGTTTGTTTAGGATGCCTCCAGTGAAAGTGAAGAATGTTAGAATATCAATACGCTGCATGATTAGATAATTGTGTGGAATCAAATAAGTAAGTACGGTTTGCGTTGTTTGACTCTAAATGTTTCAAGCTTTAGAGATTTTCTGTTGTAGTAAATTTTTCACTTCACTGAGCAGCACTCGTTAATGACAACATTAGATTTACAGATTTTTGTGTGTACCACTTTTCAAAAACAATGTTAAAACAAACTTTACACAGCGAATTTTAAAAAATGAGATATGACTTGATGGACACAAGAGCAATAAGAAGTCGTAAAGGCCTAGAATTAAACCCTGGGGCCCACCTGTGTCTGTGTTACTCTAGAATGTCCATCCAAATGTGAAGACAATCTGAACAACTTTATAATGTTGCATTGGGTTTTCCTTTTGCTCCTTTTCAGAACAGAGGGCCGCTGGTTCTGGGTGGGTTTGAATAAAAGAGACCCTGAATATCCCGGCGCCTGGGAGTGGTCTGATGGTTCTCCCGTAAGTACACGGAGGTCGACAAAGTGATCCAAGGCCATTGAGCGGCCGTAAACCGTCAGAGTCTTGCCTGGTGTGTTGGCGCAGGTGGTGACCTCCTTCATAGAGGATAAGAACGAGGAGGATGACCGGAGGGACTGTGCCGTGTACAGCGACCTGACCAACGCCATCATGCCGCTGCCCTGCGACACACAGCACGAGTGGATCTGCAAGCTGTCCAGAGGTGATCGGCCGTACCTCACCACCCTGGACGCACGCGCACTTCTCATTGACACAGTGCTGCATTACTCACCGGACTCTGATTTCATTTGCAGGTGACCAACTGAAAAAACCCTACTGGTACACGGAGCGTGAGTATTTTCACTAACTTCATTGCTCCTGGCAACCACAAGGTTTATAGACACTGATGGACATTTATTGACACCGTGAAATTGTTTTTGACTGTACTGCTAAGTAATGGAAAGCAAGATATTTATATATACATATATAAATGTCCCTCAGAGAGCGAGCCCTGGGTCTTTTACCGCGGAGCCGAGTACCTGCTGGCGAAGCAGCCCTTCGACTGGGACGCCGTCTCGCTGGCCTGTCAGATGATGGGAGCGCACCTGCTGTCCATTCACTCCAGAGAGGAGATGCACTTTCTCAAGGAGCGCTTGCAGCGGGTTTGTTCTGCTCTGCTCATAAACCTTCGTTCACAAAATGTCAATGTCCTTTGATTGAGATCCCTCTGTAAAATAGCGTCTTTTTTATGATCACTGTAATCAAGTTGTGTCATATGGGACTGTGGTAACAGTGTTTATTTCTCCGTGCACATTTCATTCATTCACTCATTTCATTTAGCAGAATCTTTTTCATATCTTTGTGTCCTTTTCAAACAGGCACCTCTACACAATTGCATTTAGTCATTCAAATAACTATTTTATTCAACAAAATAATAGCTTATTCAAAGGGAAATATAAGAATTTTAACTTTGAACTCAATTTCACAAACTAATATCTGCAACAAATTTGTTCCAAAGGAGCTGTATTATCTCTGCAGGGACAGCACTTTTTTGTTATATCATTCCTACCTCTCCCCATAACACTCAACCATTTACTTATTCTCTTTACACAAAGTTTTACCATCTAAATGCCAGGACAGAAATAACTACTTTAGTTTTCTTTCAGTGAGCAGGAGCACAATATCACACACGGCAATAGTACACAGCCAAAGCCGTGTATTCAATCACTGCTCCCCTCTTTACTGAATGGCCCAACAGGCCCATTTCCCAACAGCTCAAACACTCAAAGTGAAAAACAAACAAACGAATGAAAAAATGTGAACACAATTGACACACTCACACAAACTCAAGTGTTTGCATTCGCACATACGCCAAGTTTAAACGTCCCTGGTGTGGGACTTTCATGCGCTTTCATGGTCGAGTCCCCCCACACGCGGGGAGCGAGAGAAAGGCTCTTTTTACACCATAGAAGTCCCTTTTGGTGTTACGGCGTGTGACGGGATAAAGGGAAAAAAAACAAGGCGGTGAATGGAAGCTGGTGTCCGGGAGGCTCTGACAAAGCCGAGAATGTGGCCCAGTGAGGACTGGATTGCCAAGGAGGAGGGTAAAAGTGAAGTGAGCGCTTTCATCACTCTTCCTCTCACTGTGTCTCCTCAGCTGTCCCCGGGCCCGACAGACTGGTGGATTGGCCTGTCCGTCGGGCAGACTGGAGACGATGCCAGGTCTGTACGTGTGTGTGTGTGTGTGTGTGTGTGTTTTGGAGTCTGCTGAGAGAGAGGCTTGTGTGGCAAGTTCATCAAGACATCGGTGACGTCCCTTCGTGAAAGCGCATGTTTGTGTTTGTTTGCAGTTGGAGCGACAGGACGCGGGTAGACTTTGAGAACTGGGCAGAGAGGAGTGCTGCCGGTGGCCCGAGGAGGGACAATGTGTGTGTCACCATGTCCTCTAAGTCAGGTAAACACGTGTGCAACCACACACACTCGCGGATGCACGTCTATTGACGCCCTACTAGAACGTGTGGCGGTCTGCTGCTGTGTTGCAGGGAAGTGGTCGGCGAGTAAATGCAGCGATCGCCACGGCTACGTATGCAAGAGAAAGACGGTGTCGGTGGTGGAGGCTCCCAGGGAGCCGCACTACATCGGAGGATGTCCGGAGCAATGGCTCTACTTTGGACACAAGGTTCAGACTCACTTGGACACACACACACACATCAGGGGGGAGCTGATCTGGGTCCCTAAATGACAACCATCATAGATGCATGTAATCAACATTTGAGACAAACACACATCAGAAATACTTCCCTCTTATAGAACTTGATGCACGGAGGTAAGTTTTGTTAGTGTATTGGGAACAAGTATGAAAAGTGGAGGCTGGTGTTTGGGCGGTTAACACGCAGTAACTCTATCCCTTTTTCTTCAACAAATCAGTTCACTTCTCTAAATTCCCAGCTGCCTCTGGGGTAAAAGCGGGATGTTTGGGTTTACTTTCGCTGTTCCTTGAGTGAGTTCAGGACAACCGCCCGCTGGTGATGCTCAGTCGACATCCGCGAAGAAACCAGCTGATCTCCTTTGAAATTAGATTGCATTTTATTTTTCAGGTTTCAGAAAAATAGATAAGAGACGCAAAACCTTCTCAACATCAGAACAAATTTTAGACCAAAACAATATGTGATAAAGCTGGTAACATGATAGTAACCGGACATTACTGTTTGGCACCAGAAGAAACCCAGTGACCTGGAATAGATGCACTCATTGTTCTGCATATTGAGCAGAATAGAAAGCCTTGCAGCGATGCCTGTCCTTTTCTCTCTGAAAATATGGAACAAAATATACATGCATGCCCACACAGACTCACACAGCGTGTGGCTCGCGGTTTACACAGTAAGGTGCAATATGTGGGATTTGGTGGCATTCAGTGTTGACTTAAAGAGATAAAGAGGTTTTTATTGTCATTGTAGGAATACAACTAAATTGTATTTGGTAGCCAACTAGCACTAGCGAACAGCACAATGACAACAGTAACAGAAAATATACATAAAAATGAGTAAAAGTAATAACATTTTTAGAAAACGTGCAGTGTAAACATTGGTACAAACATGATGAAAATAAATATTTTCATCACATACAGCAAAGGTTTCTGAAACGTGACGGAGAACTCCGGCATCCATAGGATTGCTCTGAATGCACACTGGTCCTTTATAACTTTATTTAAATAATCTCTCATCAATGCAACGCCCCCTTTGTCTGCGAAAGCACGCTCCACACAACATTCATGCTTGGATTTCCTTTTCTTACTTTGACTTCTGACAAACAAGCGTCCTGTTGGTCATGGGGGAAGTTAATGATTTTCATTTCACAATTACGATATTCACGTTCTGTGTGGGACGTGTGTGTGTTTGCAGTGTCTCCTGCTTCACATCCCTGCTGGCCCGCAGGAGGGGAAGAGCTGGAACGACGCCCAGTTTATCTGCGCCTCCTTCGCCGGCTCGCTGGTTGCCGTGGAGGACGAGATTGAACAAGGTAGAAGCAAAAAGCGACTACGGGTTCATTTCATACACAAACACACTGATGGTAGTTAAGACAGACGTGGTGTGCTCTATATATATGTTCCTAATTGTCCTATTCTCCTGCCGACATTCCTGCAGCCTACATCACAATGCTGCTGCAGGGCAGCTCTGTAGGTGTGTGGATTGGTCTGCGGGATGAGGACACCATGAGATGGACCAATGGGAAATCCGTCAGCTACACCAACTGGTCTCCAATTGGACCAAAGAGCTACTTCACCGTAAGCTCGCGTGACAACGTTTGTAATTTGTGAACGTGTTTGAGTGTATCAACGTGTGCCTTGTGAACGGCAGGAGGATGATTTGGCCAGTGAGTTGTCCGATGAGCCGCTGTGCACGGTTCTATCCAACAATCACAACTTCCACCTGACAGGGAAGTGGTACGACGAGAAGTGCAGCGAGAGCGGCTACGGCTTTGTTTGTCAGAAGCCTCAAGGTAAGATCCCTTCACTTTCTTTATCTTTCCGTTCTGTCACTGCCTGTTTGTTATGTTTGTTTTTCATTTCTGCTGTCAGACCCCATAACCTATTCTCTCTGCGAGTCAAAGAAGCCTCCACCATCAATGCTGATGGTGTTTTCTTTCCTGACAGCCACAGACTGTGTTATCGGCCCTCAGATGACAGAAATGTTAACAAAACTGAAAATGTTGTGCTGCAGAAATATGATAATAATATAATATATCTAACACATTAACAACACGGGGAAATACAAAGGCACAATAAAGAGTCAATTAAAGTAGCCATGTACATAAGGAGCTCTGCAGGGAATGCAGAGGCTGCTTTACTCGTGTTGGCAATGATTCTCGTCAATGCCGTGTTTATTCGGTAGGCTGAAGTAAAGGGGCTCGTGCAGCTTGACCTGATTTCCATGTTTTCAAGCGTCTCTTAAGTTATCATGACCCATAAGGTGGCAAGGCCCACATGTATGGGGAATATGAAACTATAAACACTTTTAATGACAGCGCTGATGGTGCAAAGTCACATTTCAATGAGGACACTCGGATCTTCCTTCGTGTAACTCTACATCGTTCCATGATAATCGATAGCTTTTACTGTGCAATTTCAGAATTGTGCTCATTCGCTTTCTTGCAAAAAGTGAAATAAGATCACGTATCGGTCAGTAAGCGATGAGGCTGCAGCCAGGAAATGTGGCGTTAGCTGCAAGACGGGAAACTGTCAACTAAGAGTTTCTTCTTCTTTCTTCTCTTTCTTTGTTTACAGACATATCCAAACCCCCCACCCACTCCTATCACCACCCTCTCCCTGACAATATTGAGTACAGGAGCCGCAGCTACAAGGTTGTGTCTGGCAACATGAGCTGGTACGAGGCGATGCATATGTGCATAGAGAATGATTCTGACCTAGCGAGCGTTACCGATGCATACCACCAGGCTTTCCTTACTGTCCTTGTCAATAGATTGGCAGTCTCCCACTGGATCGGACTGTATAGTCAAGACGTATGTATCCTCTCACGCAATATGTACTCTGTTTCTCTGCACTGTGTGTGTGTGTGTGTGTGTGTGTGTGTGTGTGTGTGTGTGTGTGTGTGTGTGTGTGTGTGTGTGTGTGTGTCTGCTTCTCTACAGTTTTCCATCTTGGGAAATGCGCTTAATCGCTTTTGTAGCGGTAATTGAATGAGAAATGGTGATGGGTGAGGCATTCTCATGTCTGTATGGGAAATATTTGGCTACTTAGTATATAGAGAGGACACAGTGCGAAACCACACGACTGCCTACCTTTTTTTATCCTTATAAAAAACAAAAGTTTATTTTGACATTCTAAAATGAATCAGAGTATTTTGGCTTTCACGTGTCTCAGCAGAGGCGGTTTCTAAGAAGTGGATGGAGGTGACCTACGTCACCTCTTCCCAGCCTTATTTGGAATAGTAGTTTGTCTATTCCCAACGCTAGTTTTACCTTTGGAAAATGCATTCAGTCATAGAAGGGGTGGTTATTACACACTGTAAATATCATAGACTTATATTGTGATGGAATAGTCACTCTGGCTCTTTGTCAATGGAACCAGTGTTCATAACCTCTCAGCAGCATCTAACTCTCACAAGAAAAGCAACTATGGGTATTTGCCCCACTTATTCCTTTTTAATATGTCTTTATCAACTCATTTGATAGATACACACAAAGCTTACAAGAGAAGCAAAACAGCTTGGAGCTAAATCTTAATATTGTACGATGTCAGGAGACGTGAAAGGAAAGTACAACAAAAGGTCCTCCAACAGTCTTCAATTTTTTATTTTTTTATATGCCTTAAGGGTTTTTTCTCCTGACCTTTCTGCCCACGTAGAGGTAGTCATGAGCTTTCCCAGCTGTGCCTTAACATTTGGACTCAAGTATCACTGAGTCCACATGGAAAGTCTTAGTCACAGAGAGAAGAGTTTTATTTTTTCATCCAGCCTGATCTTGTTTCTGTTTATTTCTGTCTCATGAACAAATCGTTTTGTTATTTGAACCTTTATTGCACTCATTATTTCCATAACCATTCCTGTCCAATACTAACACTTAACTGAATCATTTCTGTCATAGCTTAGTATAATCACTGTTGGGAATCATGATATTCTCTTATAATACATCCATTTGAGTTTTGCATTTTGTGATGCTTCTAGATTAGAAGAAACCCACTCAATGCATCCAAGAACCCAAATCAGTAAAACAGAGAGAGAAAAAGAGAACAGCACAGTCAGAGGTCCGTGTGAATTAAGCGTTGACGGTCCCTGGAGTGAAACCTCTTCGCTGACACTCTGCTGACTTCCCCGCAGAGTGGCATCAATTACCAGTGGTCAGATGGCAGCGACACGGTGTACACGCACTGGGACGCGGACGATGACGACGTTGTGGGGGCAGAGTGCGTGTACATGGACGTGAGCGGAGGCTGGCGGAGAGCTGACTGTGAAACTCAGCTTCCAGGAGCCCTGTGTCATGTTCCTCCACCAAGTCAGTGCCACTTCACTGGGAGTCACTGGGGAGCGCTCGCTCCGCATTTCGCCTCTTTAGCCGCTGACTTTGCTGTCACGCATAATCCGCCCTTTGTCCCGCTCCCTCTTATCGCCCCGTCTCTCCCAGGCAATGAACCATTCATCGCAGGCGAGGTCGCGTGTCCCTCCACGTGGGTGAAATTCAGGCACGCCTGTTACGACTTTGAGCCGGTGGTGCAGAAACTTACATTCGAAGAGTCACGAGAACACTGTAGGCAGAAAGGTGGGACCCCGTAAGATGCCATCTTGGGTGTTCATTACCATGTCGCTTATTTGTTGTTTTTGGAAAATGGAAATGAGTCACTGCAACGTGCAGGATGGAATACATGCTCCCCCTACAGGTCAGCTAGAGAAGCTCTCGCTCTGTAGCAAACTGAATTACAAATCCCACTAAGTGGGTCACAGAACTTCATACTGCACATGTGTTTATTGTCCTGTCTGTGTTTTCTCCAGTCTCCTAAAATGGCAGACCACTGCTTTAAATGGACCCTAGTTGTGCGTTTAATGTGCTGCTGTCCCTTCCTAGTAAACACCTCGGATGTGCTGACCCTCGCGAGCGAGACAGAGAATCGTTTTGTCCTGGAGCAGCTGTGGTCGTCGGGGTTCCTTCACCACTCTGTGTGGTTGGGCATGTACTTCAACACTGACAGTAAGAACCCAAGAACTGGTCAGAGGATCGCGACGCCCTGCCGTCCCATTGCGGTAACCCGTTGCCTGTGCTTTCAAGCTGACTCCATGGCCTGGGTGGACGGTTCACCGATGGACTACGTCAACTGGCCCGACCCCGCCCCGGACTCCCGGCTGCTGGCCGCAGACTCCTGTGTGACCACCAGGGTGGATGACGGCGCGTGGCACCTGTCGCAGTGCGCCGACCGGCTCGGCTTCGTCTGCAAAGCCACCTCGGGTGAGTTTAGCTGGTGGCCTTCTGACGACCACTTGGGTCCCTCGTATCGAGCTTGAGCTAGATAACGAATCTGATGTCGACGGTTTGAAAACCCTTCCCATTAAACGGGTACAAGGTAGACGAAACAATCACTTACATCATATGTTCAAATCATCTCGTCCATCTCATAGTGACCAGCTCTGAAAAACGAATGTCTGTGTGGGTCCTCGTGTGACGCAGCGTTGTCTGAAAACACAAGATGACGCCAGATGTATTGATCTCTGCTGCATGTGTTCTTCTTGCAGATGCTACTGCCGAGGTGGAAGTGGAACCTCTGAATGGTAAAGTGCACTTTTTGCTTGAATAATTTACACTTTGGATAGATGCAGTGATCTTTCCAATTGCAATGTGATGCACGTAGAAAATAAACAATGCCGTAATGTAAAACTATACACTGAAAAACGCAACACTTTTTCAAGGTTGGTATAAAACAAACGTTTTTTTTCCATGCACTCAAATTAAGATTAAGATTAAACAGTAAGGGTATAAAACAGGCCTCTCTAAGATGAACAGTTTTACCTTGAGGTGGAATATTTGGGGTACTGCCGCTGGACACGAACAGCTCTCACGCCGCGCGTCTTCATTATTATCGGTTACAACCCGTTGAGCTGCTGTCCCGCTGTGCATTGCAGGCCTCCACCACGGCGTCATCCCCGCCGCGGTGCTGGTAGCCGTGCTGATCTTCGCCCTGGTGGCCGGAGCCACGTGGTTCGCGTACAAGAGGAACGCTTCGCGCTTCCGCCGGCTTCCCGCGCTCGGCAGCGCTTACTACAGACAGACCCGCTCGCAGGACGCGGAGTCGGACGGGAACGTGCTGATCGCACACCTGGAGGCTCACTCGGGGGAGTAGCGCTCAGCGATGGCTTCCGAGGTCTCTTTTATTCTCCCGTTATCTGTCGGCCTCTCGCCATTTTCGCCGTTGGGTACGAACGCCGCCCGACAGCGAGAAGCGTGACGGCTCCTCGGGACGGCGGTGAGACGCGATGGCGGCAGACGTTTCCCTTTTTTGTAATCTGAGAATGTGCTCGGAAGATCCCGGTCGCACTCAACAGTTTTCATGCTCTTAAAAACTTGCGAAGATAATTGTTGACACTGAAGAGCCCACATTTGAATTGTGTCGACTAACAAGGTCCACGTGATTGGATTGTTTAAGAAGGGATGCTAGAGATTTTTAAATGTGTTTAAAAGAGTAGCTAAACACTCTGCGCTTTTTTATATATCCAAATGTTAGTATTTAATCAATTAGTTGGAAAAGGGTATTTAGGAAAGTAAAGTGGATAATAAAGTGCTTTTATTCCAAACAGGTGGAAAAAGTATTGATCTTCTTCAGGGTTTTAAAAGTAATCCAAAATAGAAACGACAGTAACATGTATGATGTCATTCTGTGCATTTCATTCAGAATTTCAGGAGCTGTTGAAGCTGCACAGCAGCATAGTTATCAGTATTACTTTTGTATTTCTATTTTTTAAGTACACCGGCTGTATTTTCAGCAGAGATGTTTGTTTCAAAATTCATTCCCTTGTTCACCTTCGTCTGCTGATTGCACAACTGTCTTTTGTGTTTCATTAAATTGTGGTTAGGCCTATAAATTCCAGTTTCATCACTGAGAGGAAACACTACACATGACACTTCTCCAAAGAAGAAGGAACTGCTCTGAACGTTTCCCCCTTTCACTGTATCAATGACTTCACTTTTCTTTCGTCTTAAGCGCAGCCGCATGGCCATAAACCGTTACTTCCCCCTGGAAGACCAAAGGAGTCATTCAGTAACACTATCTTACCATCATTTATAGACACACAAGATCTACGCGACTAGAAGTTTAGAATAAAGTCCTTCTGGGTACTTGTGTCTTTAATGGAAGTCTTACCATGGCTACAAATGAGCATAACAAAGGTCAGACAATCTTTATTGACCCCACAATAGCTTGATAAGTGAGTAAGGTATTTATATGACCAGCAGTTTGACTGAGAACCGGAATTCTCTTTAGTCCTTTATGTTTAGTCTGTAAGTAGGACAGTGGACGGTGCAAAGATAACTGTCAAATATAAATATTGTACAAATAAAATCGGTTGTCTTAATGAAGGCGTCGGCGTGTCCCTGCGGCGGAGAACAGAAGACATCACAGTGCAGCTATTGTGTCTCTAGTTCTATCTGGAAATCACCGCAGTGATTATTTATTCCTGTCAGCGAATACGTTGACGGATAAAAACGCGAAGTGCTACTTGAACAAGATGAGTCATCGCTGCAAAAACACACCACAAGCGAGTGGACGGGAAGTCGATGATTGGAAAGAAGATCCGCGTTTAAACGGGAGCGTGCAGAGGGAGACGCCGGGGTGAAGAGCAGGGCAAAGACAAAGACAAAGACGGACAGCGGAGACACGCCGCCTGGAAAATAAAAGCGCCGCCTTAGATTAGCCTGAAAATAACTAGTCAACATTATGGGACCAAATGCACACATGCAAAGTCAAAGTGGTGTGACAGCACGCGCAAACGTCCCAGCCGTTATTTCACTTAGTAAAGTTGCATTAGTGAAGGTGCTTTTATTGTGAAGGAGGAGAGGAAGTGTTCAGCTGAGATGTTATTGTTTTATTATTAACCCGAATAATTTTGACTTGCTAATTGAAAAACAGCCTCTGACATGTGCCACATGTTTATTCAGACCCGTTCACATGCGTCATGAACACTTCACACATGGTGTTTTCACGGGTCCCCTCGCGGTACGCGCGACGTGCTTCGTTTCGCAGGTTTCCTACTGCGACGCTGCGGCTTCGTCGCTCTTATTGTCGCGGCAGACCGGAAGCGCGCGTCGCGCGGCCTGCGGGCGGCTTGACGGAGCGGGACGCCGCATAACACAGCTGACAGTCGGGGGAGAGCTGGGTGATCGTCGCGTTAGTTGTTTGCTCGCTCCGGGAGTTTAGTTCTATCGGCCTGCGATCACAGCTCTGCACTCCGGGGGGGGGGGACGACTTTTCCTTTATGAGTCCAACGAAAAAGACTCTGCCGTCACCATGCCGAACGCGTCCGGAGCCACACTTTGCCTTTGTTTCTTGACTGTTTTCGTGGGAACTTGCTCGGCCGCGGGAGGTTTCGGTAAGTGAAACGAATCAAGTTACGAGACGCTTTGTTTTTTTTTGTTTTTTTCTCATTTCCGAGTCACTCTCCGGTTATTCGACGCGATCGGTTTCGTCGACTCCGCTGGGTAACACGGGCGCGCGGCGTGGATCCGAGGACAATAGCCTCGAACAGGCTTTAACACCCCCCCCCCAAAAAAAATAGAAAAAGCAGCTTCGCGTTAAGTGGGTTAGGTCGTAATTTGAACCCCACCTCAGGGAGTTTGATGTCTTCAACATATTCTGACAGCTCGGGCAAATGCCCCTCCCCCTCCCCCCATTAGTCTTATGCAGTTGCGGTTTATGTCTCCCCTTTTTGTCCATAAAATAAGAATTTTAAAATGCTTCAACTTTTAGTCTCCCATAAGGTTGTTTTCTTCTTCATGCTCTTATTTATTATGGCCTTAACAGTTGAAGTATTAACCTGATTGGTGTTATACATGGGGTTTTGACCCGGTATCATGGGGGTTTTGACCCGGTATCATGGGGGGTTTGACCCGGTATCATGGGGGGTTTGACCCGGTATCATGGGGGGTTTGACCCGGTATCATGGGGAGGAGGAAACTAAACGTTATCCATCCCTGCTGGCCTTTCTACGTCATTTGACCCATTTTCAAGTATATTACCCCCTGTTGCTGCCTGTTAAAACCCAACCATTGGCTTTCCTCTGCCCGTCCACAGACAAGGACGCGTTCACCATCCAGCACTCGAGCACGCGCACGTGTCTGACCACAGGCGCGTCTTCCACCCCGAGTCTCGCCCCCTGCGACCCCGACGGCAGGTCCCAGCTGTGGAAGTGGGGCTCGAACCACCGGCTCTTCCACGTGGACACGTCCCTCTGCTTGGCGCTGGACGTCCGCTCCAAGGAACTGTCCCTGGTGGATTGCGGCTCCAACGTCCTGCTGTGGTGGCGGTGCCTGGACGGCGCCGTGTACACCGTTTACCAGATGGGCCTGGGGGTCAGCGAGGGCAAGGTGTCCGCCAAACGGGACAGCAACGACACGTGGGTGAGAGGGGCGTCCCGGGACGACATCTGCCAGCAGCCGTACCGGGGTGAGTGCAGCCTCACGTGAGAGACGCGTTAAGTGGCGCCCAAGGGTCAGTCAACAAACCCGAGTTTGGTTGAGTGGAAGATAAACTGACACAATTGAGTCTTGTGATAATGTCGCAGCCTTTTGTGTGACGGTGTTGCCTGTGAGGACTTTGGTGACACATGCTAAAACAGGTTGTTGTGTCAGAACCTGACGGACGAGTTGCACACCTTCATTCCTCCCCTTCCTCCTCCTTCACTGCCTCTAATTGACAGTCAGTGTGCTTCTGACTGGTATCGTGGGTTTCTCATTAACAGCCAACTGGTTTTCTGTTTCGAAACAGTGGATTTTGGGGGGTTTCTTCTGGTGTGCTTAGTGGGGCAGGGCCAAACACGAGCTTACTTTCACTTTTGGTTACTCGGGTAGGCGCTCGCTGCTTGGCTCTTCTAGGGAACACGTGATCTAACAACTGCACCTTAACAAATACGTCTGTTTTTTTTTTTTTTAATACGTATATATATTTTCTGTGTAAGTGAAAAGAGGGAAAGTTTGCGTGAAGTGGTGTCTTAACTTATTATCTTTAAGAAGCAAGCATTAAACAACTGGGATTTTTTATAAAATTACATCATCTTTACTGCAGAAATAGTAAGTAAAATATGAAATCGGACGACTGTGTTAATAATGAATCAAACAGCAGACTTGTGTTGGATTGGAGGGGTTTGCGTCCCTTTTGCATTTGCAGAAAAACAACAATCGCCGACGTCGAAAGCTTATTTTTTTTTCTCTCAACGTTTGTGGCACAAATGCCGGAGGCTTGTAACGAGCCTCTCGCCTCTCTTCTCTCCGTGCAGTCGTCCACACCAGCGGTGGGAACTCCGCCGGCTCCCCCTGCGAGTTCCCCTTCAAACACAACGGCAGCTGGCATCACGGGTGCCTCCCGGATCCCGACCTCACTGGGCTGTCGTGGTGCGCCACCACACCGGACTACGACCGAGACCGAAAAAACGGAGTCTGTCTAACACCTGGCATGTTTTTTATTTTTGTATTTCTTCATTACTTCAATACTTTTTACCCTTTTCCTCCGATCCTAATGGAGACGTAGTGCTGCCCCTTTTTAAAAAAATGTTGCCGTTGGAGTGAGAGAACCTATATTGGTCCGGCATGCCCGGATGTCTTCTAATGTATCATTTGTCTCTGTAATACGTCCTGTCGGATCGCACTCGCACACTTCGCTCCTCACGCTCACGCCGTCTCTTTGACTTTGCAGAGGAGGGTTGCAAGACTCTCTTCGCCGGGCCGGAGGGCGACTCCTGCTACGAGTTTGTCTCCGGTGTCGCGGTGACCTGGGAGGAAGCTCTGGATTCATGTAGGAGTCAGGGAGCCGACCTGCTGAGTGTGTCCCGGCCCGAAGACCTCCACTCCAAAACCCGTGAGACCGAGCGGCGTCTCCTCCTGTTCTCGTTTCTACTCCAACTTCTCGTTAACGTGCTCCGATTCGAGAGGAATGCTTCACAGTCGTAACATGAATGATTAGATAAACCGATACGAAATCATTTGAGTTGGAAGGAAGTTTTTTTACTAAAAGTAAATCAATTTTCTAGTCAGCTGGACTGCATTAAGAAGAAACAAAACACACAAAAACTGTCTCTCGATTGTCTTCTCATTTGATTTATGTGCAGTGAACCTTCCAAACCAAAATACTTCCTGTGTTGCTCTTATGTTTTAGCCATTCATTTTTGGGGTTGATCTTACTCATCGGTCTTCACATGAGAGTAGAAGATAAGCATGTAAACACCATGAAAGTGTTTTTCCTTTAGTGTATTATGGGTTCGGGACGATCTCCTGACCTCTTATGTCTTACAGCTAAATGCATTACGCTCTGAACACAGTGCTGTTAGACACTCAAGATGCAGCAGCTTTATGGCAAAGCAAAGAGTTTACGCAGAGCGTGTTTGAGGAAGTTGCTAACCACATGAAGGGAACTGGTGCAGCTTCTTCATGTCTGACTTGTCCCCTGTGCTCCTGCAGTGTTGGACGGCCTGGACGGGATGCCTGAGAGGATGTGGATCGGCCTTCACCAGTTGGACGCCTCTCATGGCTGGCAGTGGTCAGATGGCTCCCCGCTAACGACCCTGCGCTGGGAAACAGGTAAAAAAAAAAAAAAAAACGGTTCGATGAAATCCAGCCTTCTGATTGGTTGAAAGTGAGTCACAAGGTGTACATTATTGAGCCATAATGTTCAGTACCTGTTTACATTGACCTCGTTGTGAAACTCTTCTGTGCTGGAAGGCAGCTGCTACTTACTATTCATAATGTTGCTGGTAACCGTATTATAAAAGCAACAAGGTACTGGAGGCCGTACTTATCGTCAATGATGCTGCCCAACAACACCCTCAACAACTGTTACATTATTTGACGGAAGTACAGCCTCTCGTACCTTTTTATTGCTTTAGTAAGCGACTGATCTGAAAGTGGTTAAACCAAATGCAAGAGACGCAACTCAACTTCCCCACCGACAAATGAAACGAGTTTGCAGCCCAATGTGTGAAAGGCTCGTGCTGCCTTTAGCGCACCAGCTACAGCGTGTGGTGCTGCTGATGTGGTCGCTGCCCTTCTATAAACTGACACTGTGTGTCAGTCAGAGAAACAGTGCGGTCAGTGTCGCATAGGAGCTCATTGTGCCTGGCTGTTGGACACAGTGTGGCGTTGGAGTTGCCGCTGAATAACCCATTAATGGCACTGAATGGAAGGCTTTATAAAGCCTTCCAGCTATTGTGATATGTTTGCTGTTTTGTCTCCCCCCCCCCCGCCCTCCCCCTCCTTCTCAAAGGGAAGAGGTTGTTCTTAAGCTGCAGCGTGAACGCCGTGGACACTGCGGCCACCCGGCCCCCTGCTGATATGAGCTCTTGGCGGTTGCCAACGCGCCGCCGCGTTGAGCCTTTGTGGCGACATTCATTTTATTTCAGCGGAACCCGGTTGATAAGCGGAACCTTGAAAGTAACTCGAATGGCCGCGGCTGCACTTTGGCAGCCCGGGAAATATCTGATGTGTGTGTGTGTGGGAATGTGTTTGACAGGAATGCCGTCCACCGGGCTTTTGGCGTCCGACTGCGGAGTCCTGAACTCCAAACAGAGCTACGAGTCCGAGCAGTGCAGCCAAAAGCTGCCGTACGTCTGCAAGAAGAGTTTTAACGCCTCCCACGTGGCGGCCGCGGGTAGGTTATCTGCAGCGCGCACCGCCTGCACCGCAGCAGGCGAGGCACCGCCTCACGTGTTCAACGCACGCTAGCAAGCAAATTATAAAATCAGTTTTTGTGCGGGCCATCAAGATCTCTTTAAAAATCTGCAGCAAATTTCACGGCGACAATTTGTAATATCTGTTTGCCAACAAGGCTACAGATCCAGAAGCTCGCAACGCCTCATCATTTCACAACCCGACAGTCAAAACCAAAGTGTGTCTAATCTCTGTTGTGGTTTTGCCCACATCAAACCCACCGCCGCTCTCCGCCTCGCTCCTTCCTCACAGAGACTTTGCTGTACGACTCGACGGTGTGCGCAGGAGACTGGGTCCCGTGGAACGGCTGGTGCTACAAGTTGGTGAACCAGGCTAAAAACTTCACGGACGCTCGGATCCACTGCAGCCAGCCAGAGGAGGGAGTCCTGGGCTCTCTGGCCAGCCTCCACTCCGTCGACACCATGGAGATGATCAGTACTCATTTCCATTCGGGTAAAATGAAAGAACTGGAAGAAGTACTCTCGCTGGAGGCCCTTAAAGTTAGTTTTTCTTATTCAAACTGCGCCCTTAGGTCACCTCCTTTTGTTTATTCTTGTGGCCCATCAGACGGCAACGCTTTGAACGTGTGGATCGGACTGATGGGTGTTGGCGTGAACCCCGCTGTCTTCAAGTGGATCGACCACGCACCCGTCACCTTCACCTACTGGGACCAAAACCAGCCGGTGCAGCCCGCTGTAGACCCCAGCTGTGTCTTCTACTCTGGAGAGGTGTGTGTGTGTGTGTGTGTTTTTGCACAGCCTTCTGTCTTGGACCTGTGCGGGGCGGGTGTGTCCTCTCCCGAGGCCTTTGTTTTTGTCGCCTGGCGAGCCCGCTACGCAAGTTTGTTTACAAGAGGCCCGTGAAATCAAACCTGCGTCCGTGCTCCACAGCATCACGGTTGGCGGGTCGGCGACTGCACACTGAGGCGACCTTTCATGTGTCAGACCAAAGGAGAGGCCAATAAATCTGCGACACAGACCGGATGCCGCTTTGAGGATGTGAGTATTGTCTACTTGACCTGATTTTCCGTGTCGAAGCCTGCCGGGTTTATGGAATCAAGGTCCGGCCCCAGAAGACCGTGTGCAAATTACAGGCACAATGCCCAGTAAATGTTTGTTTTGTCCGCACGTTAATTTCTAAACGAACACGTTCCTCCTCCTCCTCTCGCGTCCGTGGATCCATGTTTGCGTGGACCTCCCACACGTGAAGCCTTCGAGCCGCGCGCACACGTCGCCTATAGTTGTGACATTTTGACACAGATGAGAGCAGCCTCGCCCGGTCACGGGTCACTTGGTGTGATGGTCAGGTGACACTCGAGTGATTTGCAACACGGATCATCGCTTCGTATTGATCTTTGAATTCCCAATACGGTCCCACCGGCAAGGACTGGAAGTGTGTGAGGGCTCGGCACGGAGGTGACGTGCGACTGCTTGTAATTTGAATTTAAATCAAGTGTCGCCGCTGTCGATCCCTCAGGGTTGGAGGCGACACGGCAACTCCTGTTATCAAGTGAACCCCAATCAAGTGTTCTTCAAAGACCGATGCAACATCACCGTGAATAACCGGTAGGAGAAAAAGCCCATCGGTTCCTGCCGTCGTGGATACTTTCTGGCATTCTCACTTTCCGCTGCCCTCCACAGGTTCGAGCAGGCCTTCATCAGTCGTCTGCTGAGAGAGCAGATCGAGGCGGAGCCTCAGTATTTCTGGCTGGGCCTGCAGGACGTCAATAACACGGGAGAGTACCAGTTTGTGAGCCGGAACGGGACACCCGGTGTGGTTCCATACACCAACTGGGGCGTGTTCCATCCACGTTAGTAAAAACCACTTCAGCTCTTCTCAGTTATTAGTTTTTTTTAATGCAGGAATAACACAAGAGCGAAGGAGTCGCCTGGTGTTTGGAGTCATGATGTGTTGCATCTCTCTCTACACAGTGTGCCGGCTCAGGTTTACTAAAGCATGAAATAACATTTTCCATTCACAGTTTGCGGTGCAGGACGCCAGCAGTTTGTATATGAATTTCTGGGGAAGCTCTAAATGACTTTACGAGTTATCAGGACAGCGGGGCCACGTTTCATTTTCTATTGAGCTGAACAGAAAATGAAACAAGTCAAAATACATGTAATTTACCCAGTTGACAAACATACTAATCATTTTGCACGTCAGATTTAACTTCTACGTTCACGCATGCCTTTCAGATCTGGATGGAAGCTGTGCAGTGATTTCTAAGCTCTCGGGCAAGTGGGACGTGAGGAACTGCACCACTTTTAAGGCCGGCACCATTTGTAGGACGGACCTCGGCCCACCTCCACCCCCAGAGCCAGAGCCCAACCCCAACGCAACCTGCCCTGATGGATGGGTGTCCAAAGTGAACAGCATGTACTGCTACAAGGTGCGTGTGTGTGTTTGAAGTATGTAGAAACAATGCCATTCTTATTATTCTTATTATATTATTAGTCAGTTTTAAGTAGCTGTAGCAAATTGTTGTTTTGCCTCGGCAGGCGTTTCACCAGGAAAGGCTGAGCAGGAAGCGCTCCTGGGAGGAGGCCGAGCGCTTCTGTCTGGCTCTGGGCGCCAACCTGCCCAGCTTCACCAGCAACTATGAGATGAGGGTCCTGCACAGCATCCTGAGAGACTCCATTAGGTAAACGCACGTGCACGCATCGCGCTAGACTATCCAACAGCAAACGGCCACCCCTCCCCGGCGTTTGAAAGGAGACTCATTTAGTGTCACGGCCGATGGTCGGGTCGCGCTGCGGTTCTCTTTTTCGCAGTGATAATCGGTACTTCTGGGTCGGCCTGAACAGAAGAAACCCAGCGGATCGCTCGTGGCAGTGGAGCAACGGCCAGCCTGTGAGTATGAACATAAACGCAACACCTATTGTTACGAGGTAATTCTCTGTCCTGACGCATTTTTATTCATCTCAAACACAATATATATGACTTAAATATACTTATTCCACTGTATTGCATTAATTTATTTGTAAAAGTCTGTTGATTGAATGTTTTTACAACAGGTTTCTATGGACATTTTACAACAAGACTTCCATGAGGACGATGCATACGATCGGCACTGCACTGCATTCAAGGTGAGCTCCGTTTCCTTTTCTACACTTTGGAATGTGCGCGCCGCTCCGCCGCTGAACATGTTTCTTGGACATTGGTGCAAACAATCTGTGTCCTTCTTAGACTTCAAAGAGCACCTTGAAACACCTGTTTGTGTTTCTGCTGCACGACTTGCCTCCCACGCCGTTCTACGCCACGCCGTTTCACTGCGACGCCAGGCTGGAGTGGGTCTGCCAACTGCCCCGCGGTGAGACCCTGTGTTGTTCTGTGCTGTTTTATGACAACAAAGTGGGAAATAAGAAGGTTTCCCAGTGTGTGTGCGTGAGGTTTTGGGGCGTTCGGCGATGGCGTTGATGGATAGTTGGTGACACTCTGCTCTAACTTTGTTCACGTGACGTGCTTCAACAGGAAAGACGCCAAAGACGCCAGAATGGTACAATCCCGGTAAGGAACAAATCTTTCTGGTTTTAAAATCACAAAAAAAAAATGTTTTTCTTCAGATGATCTGCTACTAGAATGATTCGGTGCTTTGCAGGTGGACACCACGAGAGCTCAATCTTCGTAGACGGAGCCGAGTTTTGGTTTGTCGAGGAGCCCAAGCTTTCTTTTGAGGAGGCGACGCTCTTTTGCAGTATGAACGGCAGCAGACTGGCTGCACCGATCACCTCCACCGCTGTCGGAAAGATCCAGCAGCACCTCAAAGAGGTAAGAGACAAAGAATAACCTTTGTTCAAAATGTTAAAATACAGAGCAGTGAATGTTATCAACATGAGTTGCAGTTCTCATGGTATTGCTTTACTTATACAAACATCAACTGTGCTAAAAGTCTTCAAATGGTTGAGGAAACCCGAGCAAGACCGAATATTTTAGCATATTCTGAAGCTTCTCCCCCATTGTCTACCCATCCATGCTCACCTGATGACTCACTAAATTGTAACAAGTAAAAGAGGTCATGAGGCTCAGGGGCTTTTCTCTGTAATAGCACCCGTGTTCTGGGTTCCCCACGCTTTGGACCTGCCATGTCCCGTGCACATTTACTTAGCTATTCTCCCACAATCAATGCTCAAAGACGCTTTAGCTAAATCCGTGTGCACGTAACGTTCACATTAGCCACTTGAGTTCATAAACACACACATGCAGTTAAAAAGGAAAAGGTTTGAAAACTTCTTCCTTTTGCGATTACCCCTTTTTATTCTCCCCATGGGCATCTGTACTCGATTCTAAGAGCCTGCTGGCTGGGAAACTCTGTCCGTCATTATCTGGTCATGGGAAGCTGACAGTATCTAAGGAGAAAACAGCTGGAAGCAGTCGAAATAAAGCAGCAACTTGTTCTGCCCCCAAACTAACCCATAAAAAGCTTAATGATATTTCGAGCGTACTTGAGTCCTCCCACTGTGCTCCATGCGATCTCTGGAGCGCTGCCCAAGTACGGCTTCTGACACATGCACCAACCACAGTCCAGTATTTACATAGAAGGAATTAAATTAGTCCCCTAAGTCCCTATGTTTTTTTATTGCGCGTTGATTCTTGCCTGCTTGCCGTCTGTAATGATTATTGCCTGATCATTTTATTTTTATTTTCTTCTCCGTAAAGTATTTCATGTTCTCGATTTATAGGATTCTATTTTTATACGTGGTACTTTCGCTTGCGTGTTTTGAACAGATGTCGGGTTCTTCCTCACAAAGCTGGTGGATCGACCTGAGAGAACCCGGCCGGATATTCCCCATGACGTAAGACACACACACACACACAGACACACACACAGTTCATGCCGTAGAAGAAGGAAGGATGCACAGAAGGATGTTGACTGTAATAATACATGTTCTAGGTACAACCAGATGTACTTTTACCATTCGATTCTCCTGGGCCGATGCACCACCATCAGCCCTGAAGACTCCTTCCCCGGTGAGCAAACGTCGCAATGTTTCTCTGGATAAAAAACAACTTCAGCTCAAATCAGTTTGATAACATTTGCTTTTAGTTTTATCAGAAACGTTTGAAATGACCCTCCCTGTTTAGATGTGGGAGCTGTCTTGTTTCTTCTCCAAAATCAAAACAAACCCATAAAACTTTTTCTCTTGATCATCCTCTATGTGAGAACCCAACGCTGATGAATATTTAACCTTCTAGATACATTCTTTAGATTCTTAAACCCTGTTTTCAGGGGCTTTAAAGCTACGAGGCACTCAGTTAAAATATTGAAACGTTATTGTAAATGTTTCAGTACGGTGAGATTAATACATTAATACAGTGAGCGAGAAAAGCAGTTCCACTTGATTTAATTTGTTATCGCGCTTATTTGTCTCTTTCACTGACCCACACTCGCCTGGTGTTAACCTGCAGACCACGACCAGAGTTGCCGCCTGCCTTTGTCCTTTGTGTGCGAGAGACACAACGTCACGTCAGTGGAGATAAACCCTCTGGAGCCGCGGCCTGCAGGAAAGTCGTGTGGAAACGAATCTCTGTCCTTCAGAAATAAGGTCTCCATTTTTACAGACTGTGTGACATTTAAAGAAACAATACACTTTAACCCTTAAATCACATCAGACAGGATTTCGGTGAAGCCAAGATAGTAGAGTGGTAATATTTCGATCCTTTAAAGGTCACTCATTTCTCACAAAAAAACGGCCCAACGTGGATAATCTTCATTTCAGATATTTCCATCAAAGCTGCAGTTTACTGCAATAGAAAGAATTGAAATGGCAGCCGAACTGGAAAAACTATAGTTAGTATAATAACAATTCTCTGACCAAGTGAGACAAGAGTCAACTAAACATAACACCAGTGTGCAGAATGATTCACATGGAGCACATTGTGATACAGGTGTTTTTATTCTCTTGTTTTTTCTGTAGTGCTACACGTTGATGCGGAGCCAGAAGCCCGTGTCATTCGCGTATGCCAGTGGGGTCTGCCAGTCGGTGAGAGGAACCCTGGTCACTATATCTGACCAGGCGGAGCAAGGTGAACAAGCCCAATGTGACTCTGAAATATCCTTTTAAAAAGCTCTTTATGATAATGTTTGTAAGTGAGCTGATCACAAATCTTTGTCTCGCTGCAATCGGCCGTTTCAGACTTCCTCACCACCCTTTTGCCAAAAATGAGAAACATGGACAGGATATGGATCGGTCTGAAACTCAAATATGGCAACCCGGAATGGGTGGACCAGTCCCCAGTTGACTACGTCAACATTAACCCCCTGGTTCTGGGCATGCACAGGGACATAAAAGTCAACGTAAGTCCTCGTTACCTTCACTGCCTTTTTGAAACGGGGACACGTAGGTCTGTTTGCAGGTCTTTGAGAGAAACGAGTTGTACAAAATCTATTAAATGCATTGAGTATTTTGGTCTGAAGGTCTACAATGAAAACACATGTGTGGGTGTGTGAGGTTATCAGACCTTGACGGCCTGCTCTTTGCTGTTAGCATTAGCTGGTGGTAGCTCCTAGGGATGAAAAGGGGAGTGAGGGGAGCGTTTAGGCTTAAACACATTTGAATTCACCAAGTAATCCTTGTTCCTACATTTCTTTTTTCTTGCTTGACAGACATGGGATGTGGACAGCATGGATTTGTGTGTGTTTTTGATCAATAACCCCAATTCTGCCATGCTGGGTACCTGGGACTATTCCTCCTGCACACAGTTTCAGAACCTGGCCTTTTGCCAACACTATGCAGGTAAATCAGCCCCTCCAGCGCTGAACGCCGGTGTCTCTCGAATAAAAGGCAAAAAGTGCCCAGATCAATACTTCTCTCATGAAAGGCTCTTAAAACACGAGGCTTACTCGTTCCAGATAAACCAGTGGAACCCCACGTCCCGAAGGAGAGCTTCACGGTCAACAACCACACCATCCTGCTGCTCGACAGAAACCTCACCTGGTTTGAGGCCTTGGAGCAGTGCAGGAAAAACAACATGGACCTGGCGAGCGTGGCCGACACCTTCCTGCAGGCCACCCTCACTGTGTACGTGAGCAACGCACGCAAGCCCATGTGGATCGGCCTCTTCAGCGAAGACGTAAGCGCTGCCGGGGACGGGCCCGCCTTTGCTCCGACCCGCAAACCTCCACCGGGCACTTCTTGAAATATTTGTGTGTGCAGGACGGGATCCACTACCGCTGGACGGACCACAGTCACACCGTATTCAGCCGCTGGTCCTCTGACGTCACCGGTGGCTCCTGCGTCTACCTGGACATCGACGGCTTCTGGAAAGCCACAGAGTGCGAGGAGGTGCTGGGAGGTGCTATCTGCCACAAACCACATGGTACGGATGGCCGTGTCACACACCACGGCCTACACAGTGATTTTAGATCTACATTTAGAATCCCTTCCCTTCAAGGTATCCCTGCAAATGTTAATCAGCAGCACCTAAACCAAAATGTAAATTTACGCATCGCAGAGGAGATCATCACCACGCCGGAGGATGTCGCGGTCAAGTGCCCCCACAAGATTAATGGTCCAAACTGGATCCCCTTCAAGAACAACTGCTACTCCTTCAAGCTGGTCTCCACCAGGTGGGAGCCGTTTGACCAGGGACAGATTCTGGATACCTGCAAGACACTACGTAAGCGCTTCACAACCCGGTGCCGCGCGTTGTATTGCGTAGGTTTGCTTTCTTTCTGCAACCGGCTGGTGTTGCTTCAGTTGTTGGTGACGATGCGTTCGTGTTTCAGACGCAAATGCAGACATCCTGACCATCCGAAACGCAGAGGAGAACGAGTTCGTTAAGCAGCAGCTCTTACCGTTCCAAAACCTGGTCCAGTTCGTGTGGCTGGGGCTGTTCAAGGACGACAACGGTACGTACTTTGAACCCTGGTGGTGACCGGTACTGGTTCTGGATGTAACCGCTCCGTGCGCTGATAATAGTGCTGTTCTGCTGTAGATAACCAGATCAAGTGGTACGATGGCACGAATGTCCAATACTCCAACTGGGCCAATGGCAGACCGGACGTAGACGGCGCGTTCATGGCCGGTCTCACCGCCTCGGGCACCTGGATGCTCGTCTCGAACCGAAAGCTATTTGCACAGTTCAAACAAATGAGCATCGTGACGTGCAAACTGGACAACGGTGGGTGTGTCGCACTTTGTGAACTTACGTTTCTGTGACGTCTAAATAGTGACCTCACGTCTCGTACTCCTTCCGCTCCAAAGAACCAAAACAGCGGTACAACCTGTCCTCCGCCGATTTCCAACACTACGGCAACCTAAGTTACAAGGTGGTGACCCGCAAACTGAGTTGGCACCAGGCTCTGGAAGCGTGCGGTCAGGGTGGAGGCCACCTGGCGAGCATCCACGACATCCAGCACAGCGCGCATGTGAAGCTCATCGCCCAGACGGACGGCTTCCCGCTCTGGATTGGCCTGTCCCACCACGATGTGAGAAACGGAGCAGAAAACGTTTTTGGGGACAAAAAGTGCGACTCGTCTGAGTCTCTCTCTCTCTCTCTGTGTGTGTGCGTGTGCAGGTTAGCGACTCCGCCTTTGAGTGGTCCGATGGAACAACATTTAACTACAAAGCCAGCATCACTGACTCGCGGGAAAGCCCCGCCTCAAACGAAGCCAGCTGTGTGCATGTGTCCCCCGCTGGCGACTGGCTGAAGGCCAGCTGCAATAAGTTATTGGACGGAGCCATCTGCTACACCACCGCCATCACCACCGCTTCCCAGAGTAAGACCGCAATGTGTTCTTTAAATACCCAACTGCAGCGTTCAACGCGCCCGGCGTCGCGCGTCTACTCGCGACTCGTTTTGTGCCGTTGTGCGACGTCCACGTTGCGTGTGTGTTCTTATGAAACAGGAGCCAAAACGCAGGCGCCCCCAGAGGCGAAAGGCTGCCCCGGGAGCAGCGGTGTGTCCAAGTGGGTGCAGCACGAGGGGCACTGCTACGCCTTCGACATGAGCTTCTACAACTTCCACGTGCACAGCATGGAGCAGGCCAAGAGCCTGTGTCAGAGCATGGGTGAGCAGGCGCTCGCTGTGCCAAGAGTTGTGTTTCCCCCCCCCCCCCCGCAGGCAACTGTAGTCCAACCGTTTGCCTTTTTGCTTTGTTCAGACGCAAAACTCCTGAGCTTGAAAACCAAAGAAGAGAACGACTTTGTGTCAAAGTACATGTTTGATGACCCTCTCATCACCAGTCGCGTGTGGCTCGCCATGGACGTCAACGCTGAAGGTAAACGGCATCACTCGTAGCGGAAATGGCCAGTAAAACACTGGTTAGGATAGGAGTTGCAATATGTTGAATATTTAAAATCAGGATTAATTAATTATTACAGTTTGTGTGTTGGTGTTTACAATTGGCAATAGAGGCCTGTTTGTATTAAATGTTTTATAACCTAGTTAATTATTAACTGGGTTTAAACCACATGTTCTGAGAAAAAAAAGACCTGTCAATTGAAAAATGATGTCCAACCACCCCCCCCCCCCCCCCCCTCCCTCAGGGAAACCTTTGTCCTGGCAGGACGGCTCGGCTCTGTCTTTCTCCAACTGGGCGCCCGGGGCCTTGGTGGCGGGAAAGAAGCCTACTCCCCGCTGTGCCGTCATGGTGGCGGGAGATGATGGAGTCTGGAAGCTTGTCAGCTGCAATGACAGCTACAGTCGCGTTGTCTGCACAACCGAAGCAAGTGAGTATCACCCCTGCATTAGAGGATGTTTTTGGCGGGAAAATTGCTCGTTTGCTTTCCTACCTAGAGTCGGATGAGAAGGTTGACTGTTAGCGTAGCGTAGCATAAAAGGCCAGAGTCAGGCAGTGCTAGGAAAGGTCCGGCCCGTAATCACCGGCAGACGCCTAAAATCCCCCCCCCTCCAGACGGACTAACCGCCGACTCTCTGTCCCTCCCCTCCTGCCTCCCCAGAGTCCGGAGGCTCTCCCGTGGCGTTGGGTCTCTTCGTCGTGGTCTTCCTCGCTTTCCTGGGAGCCGTGGCCTTCATCCTCTACAAGAAGAGAGGAGGCCGCTTCTCCTCCGCCGTTCGCTACAAGAGGACCTACGATGACGCCGACGGCGCCAGCATAATAGAAGCTGACTGAGCCCAAGTAGAAAGCCTCAGGGGGCCCTGGGGGGCCTCGAGTGCATTTTTAGTTATTTTTTGGTAAGCGCAGATGCAGCCTTTCCCGTTCTTAAATTATTTATTTATGCCGCTTAAGCCTGCAGACTTTCTTCAGTTGTGTTTAAAGTGTAAATATTGAATTCTGAAAATCTGCCAATTGAGTATCGTGATTTGGGTTATTTTAGATTGAGTTTATTGAGATTCCTGTGTTATACCTAATGTAAATACTGGGACTGATTCTCTGGGAAATATTGATCATTAGCCTCATTGGGAAAGGTTTTTATTTTTTTATTGCAAAATAATTTAAGTTGACTCCCTCCCTTTCTGCTTGGTTGCACTGATGTATGCGTGACTTCAAACTATCAGGAACAGATGGTGCATTCATTAGTTTCTTCTGTACGTGATACTCTTTTTTTTCTACTGGAAAGCATTTTATTTTTACCCGATTACAATTAATGAATACATAAAGACCTGTCCACCTGAAAATACAGTAAGATGTCGCTCTATATTTAATAGCGTTTTTACTAGGACAGAAAATGTTTTACCAGGTTTTTGACTGTGCCTTTTAACATCGTTATTCCTTACTGCAGAACTAGTTTAAACCAGTTGATAGGGTTATTTTCAGTGTGTTTTTTTTGGCCTGCTACTTAAAGTGTCGGACACTGTCCTTGCCTCATCTTTTTTTGTTTGTATGAAGTGTCGGGTGTATGTAGATCCAACTTTCCTATGCACTTAACTACTGAGCAAGAACGCACTTTAATAAGTCACAGAGCCACTGTTCCTACTGTGTTTAAGCACAACCGGGTTCGGAGAGTTTTTAGAGATGTTCAAGTTGCACTGGCTGTTTGCGGCAAATGCTTTTGTAAATATGTTTTATAACTGACAATGAACCAAAGACGCTCAGAGTTGTTTGAGCTTTCCTTTCACTTTGCCGGCCTGCCCGCAGCCCGGCTTGTTAACTCATGTAAACCAAAATGTTTGTTTAAAAAAAAAAAGTGTGCGCAAATCGGTTTCCTTCCAATAAAACGTCCTGCCTTCAAAGCCCTTCTGCTCGGTTTCACTGTTTAATCATCTCCACCAGTTTGGTCACGTAATCGGTCCAGCGTGCATCTCTGCGCAACAAACCGCATAATATTTTGGCCGGCACGCTCGAGTATCTCTCGAGGTTGTGATGACTTTCACTCTTACCAAAACACCTTTTATAGACTGTGCCCAAAAAGCGCCGCAAGGAATTGTCTTCATTCACTGATGACTTTCAACAACATACAGACTTATCAGTGACCTCAGACGGTTGGACATTTTGACATGTCATTGCAAACAAAGGAAGTTATTTCATAAATTACACACAGTATGGTCCTGACTCATTTGATAAATTCACCATCAATGTTCCGCTGTACAATATTAAAAATGGCTTGTAATATTTTTTTTGGGGGGGGGTGGATATTTCAGGGTATCCCACATTGTTGGGAGGCACATACAGTAAATATAAATGCTAAATAGCGGAAAGGACATGACAGAAAAGGCAGTTTGCAATCAATCTTTATTTCCAACACACATTAAACTAGATTTGTACAAACAAAGCATTTCAAACAGATGGAGAATTGGGGGAAGTTTTTGTCTTTCCATTCAACGGTAAATAAAAGGGAATAATCAACACATAATATTCTCTGCCAAAAGCATTTATCACCGTCGAGCACAAACTGAGCGTTGTCACTGTCCTCTGCCATTTCAACTCCTGCCTTCTTATTTAAACATTAAAGCACTTGTGGTTTAAAAATACTTGCATCTTTTAATTATGATTGAATAAAGTGCACTCCCAGAAACCGAACTACAGTAGTACCAACCAAAGTATTTACGCTCCGGTTCATTTTAGTTTGCACATCTGCAAAAGCCACTAGCAACAAAGCAACAAAGGCCACACACATCCGGTGCACTCTGCAATATCTCTCTGCCAAAACTATGTTGTGAAAACAGGGGGAGCTACCATACGGCATTGAGTGACCCACTTTTCTTTACCCACAATTAGTACTCGTCTTCGAGATCGTCGTCCAGGTCAGAGAAGTCAATGGATGGTCTGTTGTCTCGTATCTCCTCGTCGCTTTCCCCGTGGGGAACTGCAACCCAGACATATTAAGTCAAACTCTGCGGCCTTACCACAAATACAAGAATGTACGGCAGCTTTTTACGTGACAATAATAAGTGATAGCATGCTTGCAGCAAATCAGGACTGTCTCTCAAAAAAAACACAAGAATGGAAGAGATAGGGTTGAGAAACATACTTTCAAGATCGTCCATGTGTTCATGAAGAATGCTCACCAGGTTGAATAACTGGGTGAGAGGAGGAAGCAGTTTTTCCCTTTTCAAGATTTGTATCCGTGCACAGTACATTTTCATTTTCAAATTGTGTCAATCAATTCAGTGTCAAGGGTTCAATGTGTAGGTAACAGGCGCATTTCAGCTGCTTGTTTGAAACGTAATGCTGACGCGTGTTCAAGCTTGTGACCCGTACATCTACTTCTCTCAGCAGAACATGTGGCGTTGGGTTAATATAAAAGCACATTGTAACTTGCGTAGCGGGCGGGGCTACTGCTTCTTTGTGTGTGTGTGTTTCAGCCATTTTAAAGTAGAAAATGAAAAGAAATTCTGTGGCACCGCAACTGACTGAACACTGAAATGAAGCCCGATAGACTGACTCAGAAATGGCTTCTCCAGCCTATCGTGTGTTTAACTGTTCAGCTGATTTAGCAGTATGGGTAGTGTGTGTGTGTGTGTGTGTGTGTGTGTGTGTGCACGCGCTCACCCCAGCAGCGTCGACTGCACCCAGGACATCGGAGAACCTCTGCTCACAGAAATGCAGCAGCACCACCAGGTAAAGGCCACTGCTGATGAAATCATTGTATTCCGACTGAGAAGCGAGAAGAAAAAACTCTTTAGTTGACCGGATTCAGATTTCTAATAGTCTAATAGTCTCTCAACCAATTTTCACAAACCACAAGTCTAATTTAGACTCTAACCTGAGAACGTATTAAGTGTTGTAGCTGTTTTGCACTCTAACTACAGGAAGTAGGGGACTCACTTGCACGTGGGTCCTGTATAACTCCTGGATGTCAAAGTTGTCTATGTTCAAACGCAGTTTCTCCTTGCAGAGTTCACATGTTGTGATGGCCTCAAGGTTTGTGCCTGACAGAAAGGGATCGGGGTTAGCACAAAGCACAGACTTGCTCAGGTGTCATCTGCAGGCCTAAGTAAAGGTCAGCATTTACCAGAGCCGATTTTGGAGCGAAGCCACCTCTGGATGCAGTCCTGGTGGACGTGCAGCAGGCTGCCCGTGCAGCGGCACGGCTGAATCAAGGGGTTGGAAGCGGATTCCCGCCCCATCTGGCAGATTCGGCACAGGTCGCCTTCGTCCTCGTCAGAATCCTCCAGCAGCAGTCTTTAGTGGGAAAAGCACGTGGTTCAAGTGTGCACCATGCGCTGGTTTCATGCATTCAAAAAAACTTGCAACTAAATTACTTTATGTTTAGCGACTTTCATTCTAAGAGAATTAGACAGAAAAAAATGAAATAGTAATGTCGTTTTTTTGGCGTCCAGTAGTAAAGTACTATCAGTGCAGGGAGTGTTTTTGCCATCTGAAGAAGCACTGTGATTATCTGGCAAACTGAAGAGATTTAAAACCAGGTCCGTGCTAACCTGCTGGACATTGGACCAGCGGACAACGCAAAGATCGGTTATTTGCGCCATCCGGTTGACGCCCGCCAGCAAACGAGCGAGGGCCCATTTTGTAAGATTATTTTAGATTAATTATGGCAAAAAAAAGGACCAAATCACCCTGCAACAGAATTATATACCAATACATTTATATTAAAAAAGCTTAAGAAAATAACAAAAAAAAAAAAAGGTTAATTATTATCATGAAGACGACAAGAATAAATTAATCACCTCTCCTTGATCTTGCGCAGCTTCTCCTGATCCGTAGTGGAAACGGGTTTCTCCGGCCGGCTCTCAGCAGCACCTGGTGGACCACGAGAACCCAAAACGCCGTCGTATACGCCGACTCTGCTGCGTGCCGAAAATGCGGCTGAGGCATCTTGGAGTTCGGACAACGTCTCATCCCTCTGTCTGGAGGGACGACCCGCGCCAAAGACCTCAAGACCAACGGCTCCTTCGGCGTCATCTTCCTCGTCCTCATCATCATCATCCTCCTCCTCCTCATCGTTGTCGTCTTCCTGTGTTGCTTTATGCTCAAGGTCATCCCACCTTCTCAGTAAACGCTGCGGGCGGCCTTCTTCTGCGCCTTCGCCGGGGTGCCCGCTGTCGTCCCGAGCGTGTCTTCTGAGGCGGGAGAGGAGGGGAGGGCAGTGGCAACGGAGGGAGGAGGACAGCCAGGAGTAGCTGCCGCTTCCTCCTCGGCCGCCGCCGCCGCTGCTGCGGCTGCTGCTGCTACTACTGTCGTTACTAGTGCTGCCGACGCCAGGCTCCCTCCACGATGCCGTTCTTGCCTGAGCCAGGCCGCCGCGGTATCCCTCGTTGTTCTCCTTGATTGGCGCGAGGTCTGCTCTTCGATTCCCGCGGCCACCCGAGGTCGCCTCGGGCTCCGCGCTGGGCCCGTCGTCGCTGTCCAAGGACTCGCCGCCGGTTGACGGGCTGCTGTCGTCGTCGAGGGAGCGCACGCTGGAAGACCCACTGGAGGAGTCTTGGCTGGAGCGCCGCGAGAAGAGGCGGGACAAAAGGCTTCGAGTGGAGCTGCGGCCCTCTGACTCTCCGCCTTCGGGCGCCGGCCTAGGCGGGAGCGCTGCCTCCGGTCTTGGCAGCGGCGTGGCGTACCGGGAGGTGTGCGAGCTATAAGAGGAGGAGACGGCGTTCCTCCTCTGCCCCGGAGGTGGCTGGGCGCTGGATGAGCCGCTCAGGAAGCGGGATGCGGTTCTGTTGCTGTAGTCGCGCGCAGGGGGAGAAAGGCAGTGAGAGGGGGGAGAGGAGAGGTGGCGATTCAGGGAGCTTTCTCTGGCGGCGGAGGAGGACGACAAAGAGGAAGAAAAGGAGGGATAGTAGGCGGACTCTTTGGGCCGAGCTCCCTGTGCATAGGTCGAGGTCACCCTGCTGCTCTGATCTGAAACGAGGGAAGAGACGGGCAGTTGGTGTGAGATGCTACAATGCATCATGGGTAGATTACGTACGTCACAAAAGAGGCCTACACAAAGAGGGAGCAGATCCAGGAGTCCTGACCCTTCTTTCTCCCAAACCTGAGAGACTGGACTCGTTCTTCGTCTCCAGCTCTCTCCTCGCCAAAAGCGGATTTGAGGATGACGCTGACGGCCGTGAGAGTAAACGGCAGGAACAAGCGTCGCTTTGCTTTCCCCCCGTATCTGTTAAGAAAAAGGGTAGACCCGCTGTTAAGAGGTTTGCTTGTAATCATCAATTATTTTACCTACAAAGCAATTAATGAATTTGTAAGTAGCTGGTGCAACCTGATCAGACTACAACTGGACTTCAGCGACAGTTCCAGACATCAAAAGCCCACTTCTTCAAAAGATGGTATGTTATTATTAACACCAAAATGAAATTTCTGCTGCAAAGTAACAGACCACTAATGGCAGCTGATCACTTCTGCCCAGACGTTCCATTAAGAACTGTTTCAATGGGTTTGTTTGTTGTTGGTTTCAAGAATGTTAGTGTATCAGAATTTAATGCAATCTAGTGCTAATTAGCCTCCCACGTTTTCACAGCCTCAACAACAACAACAACACTGCTGTCAATTTCCATCGTGCTTTTGAGTACCTCTTCCGCTCCTGAGGCCAGATGTGGAATAGGCGGATCCTGTACAGGAGCAGCTGGTGGTTCTCGAGTACAGTGCTCGGTTGCTGTACGACAGCTTGGCTCGTTTAGACTCGCCATCATCACTGACGTTCAACAGACCGGAGCGCATTCCCAACCTCCCCTCGGTATCAGTCTGGGAACATTTTAAAAAAGGCAGAAATCGAATGACATTTTGAAAATATTCCTCCAAGCTGAAGGTACATTTGACAAAGGCCTTTTTCCTGCTACAGACAGATTCAGTACCAGTTTGCTCCTGCTGCTGAGAGACGACTCGGCCCACTGGCGGTCATAAGCTCTGCTGGAGGACGCCAGGGAGGGCGGCAACTTCCAGTTGCCGGAACTGCCATAGTCTCTGGACGAGCTCAGGAGACGATAGCGCTTTGAAAAGGGAGCGAGGATAAAAACAAGGAGCATCAGTTGGGGCAGATAAATGTAACAAACACGCGCTAACGTTTCCTGCACTCTAGTAGTGGGACGATCGCACAAGCTTGAGCAACATTCGGATTAATTGTTTGGGAAAGAGCGAGAGAGGAGACCGCAAGCTGGTGTTAACAAGGGTGTATGCAAAGATTGTGAAAAACCTTTAGAAGATCTTCTGCAAATGCTTTAGGTCGACAGACACGCGCTCATTGAGTTGGTGTGTTTTGGCGAGAAACACTACATGCAAACATAATTGTTTATTGCAAAACCTCCAGAGGATCCCTTTAGTGGCCTGTAACGGTAGAGCACTAACACACACGTTTGCGTTTCGTACACTTAAGATTTGACTCCACTACCAATTGGAATACATGTAACCTTGTAAAACACGCCGAACGATGTGTTAGCGTAGCCTGGACTCTTCTGGTGCGAGCAGGAAGTGGACAGGGTCCATGCCAGTGGTAACGCGATCTTTTGAGACGGGCATTGGACAAGCAACAGGACTGAAATACACACAGCGTGCGCCAAGGAATCTATGCTGCCCTATAAAAAGACCTATAAAGTGTCGGCTGTTGCACCACTGATATGTGTGGCTAGCAACTGTACGTGTGAGAGGGAACCTGTAACATTTACTGGAACAGCCACTGTCTCTGAAATATATCAGAAAGCCAGTAAAGCCTCAAGTGGAATAAAAACCCACACAGTTGTGATATGAACTTAAGTGTTATTTGTCGTTATTGTGGAGCGAGACTGTTATCCAAAAAGTCATCCTCTGACCTTCCATACCATGCAAAACTAAATGAAGCTGGTGTTCATCTACAGTAACAGAAACACCGGAAAAACAAATACTTCTAAATCTAAAGTGAAACTAGAATCCCCTTATTCAGGACCCCGTGACTACTACAGTAAACCAAGGGAGTAATGTGGCCCATCTGAATTATACGCACTGTATGCAAAGATTTAGAAGGGGTCTCAAACGTGTGTATGACACAACAGTGCTATGCTGGGATCATAGCCTCCGGCGCTTTCTGTACAACGGGCCAGAAGGTTGCGCAGTCTGCCTACCTGGGGGTCCAGCTCTGACTTGTAAGCCGATGACGCCCTTGGAACGCGGTCATTATTCAGCGTGCTCTCCCTACTGTACAGCCTGCTGGATCCCAGTGATGAAGAGGAGACTGCTGGGCTGGATGTGCAGGACGTCCTTGAGCTGGCCAGACAGGAAGGAATCCTGCGAGACCTGGAGTCCATCACGGATTCACTGAAGGAGAAACCCCCAAAATATTATTGCACAGTAGTGGAAATGAGCCGGCAGCAACCAGTAAGACTGGTAGACCACCAAATGGCATTAAAAAATAAAGGGTTTGGCGGGGCGGTGTGTGTGTGTGTGTGAGAGCAGGTCAGGTACATTGAGTACACGTGGCCTGGACTTGGTATCAAAGTCACAGTGCCCATCTTTGGGAATATGAACCGTCACATGAACGCGACACTTCCCCAAAGCAAGCGCATCAGCCCTCTGAGCTGTTTGTCTGAGCAAGCAAGGTGCTCTGCAACAGTTATGAGACACCTAGATCATTTATCATTAAGCTGCATAACTAAATACACCATCTAGTGCACAGTCAAGGAGGTCATTTTTTAAATTTAATTCAAGCAACCCATACTGTACGTGACGTATTTGCCAAAATACACAGGCACCAGTGGACCTGAGAAGAACGGTTGAGCATTTCCGACATGGGCTGGTACAGTATGAGTTACCTCCTGGTAGTGATATGGATCCGTGGACATTTGTCACAGCACCTGTGGTCAAAGATAGCTCTGCAAGCCAGCAGCCTGTCAGGCTGTAAGGCCAGAGGATGGACATTATAAACCACCGTACCGAAACCGTTCAACCCAACCAAATGAGAATAGACATTTAGGGACCCATGCGTGCGTTATCAATAGAACAACAAACACTTAAATGGAAGTAGTATAGGAAGCATTAAAGTCAAAGAACTATCCAACTTTCTTAACTAACTTTATTAGTGGTTGAAAGAAAGTGTCCCATTTGCTGATGCTCATGTCTTTGTAACAAGCCGCAGGCGTCTCGTCTCGTGGGAAACGAGCAGCCTGCAATGAATTCCCCCGTCACCGGGTTTATAATAGTCGCTTGAACTACGTTATGTTGGACCAGTTTGCAGAGGTTTTTGGTTGAGCGCTCTACTGATGACGACCATGGTGATGGCTTTGGTTTGTGGTGCTGTTGGATCGGGTTCTTCTACGTATGATGTCCAATGCATTCAGGTTAACGAACCCCGGCCTTCAATCCACACGTAACATTTATGAGGGATTTTTGGGTGTGGTGTTCGTTCAAATTACCCACAAATGCTGGATCACGAGACCTGTGACTAACACAGCAGCTAGAAACCATAAAGGTGACGTTCATTTAATAATACAAATCCCAGCAGGTACAGTTAACGTTAGTCACTGACTTTTAAGTTAAACGTCTTGTGTTTGTGATGCCAGTAAACATTACCCAACGTTGGCCTGTTTCGTCTTCCATTTTAAAACGTTACATTCGTTAGTTCTGAATCCCGTCGCAACCAAATTACAAACAAAAGGTTAAAGGTCGGCACTGACGTTAGCATGTTAGCAAGCCAGCTAACCAGCTAACGTTTAGACCAACATCAAGAATCGAATACCTGTCAATTGTCCATTAACGTTAGCATTACACTTACACATGTCACATGCGACTGTTACGTAAACTACTAACACAGTTACCCCCCTCCCTCCTCCTCCTCCATAGTCGCGTTATCGTGCTAACGTTACCTGAAAGAGTCGCTTCGGCTGCTCGTCGGTAGAACGGTTTGCTAACTACAGCAGCCGACGCTAGCTTCCAGCTAGCTGCTTAGCTTGTCATCTGTGCGCTGGCGTTAACGATCCCTGACATTTCACGTTTTGCCTGTGGCGCTATAGTTACATTAAACGCCAGCAGATGCTCGTTTGGGACGAACTGTTTCAACACCAAGCGATGTTTCTTTCGCAATATTTACATTCGCAAAACAATGCGCTGCCGGAGTAAACACCCTTACCTTGGGCTGAAGCCTGCTCGCTTTAGCACAACAGTAGCGGTGGGTTCTGTGTTGATGACTGACACAGACGGTCATGTGACTCGCATTGACCCGGGGGGCGTGGTTTACAAAACAGCTCATCAGTGGCGGCTGGCCAATAGAGGGCAATGGGGCGTCGTCCCAATATTCCTGTTTCTGAAATATGTAATGTACAAAGAAATATATATATATATATATATATATATATATATATATATATATATATATATATATATATATATATATATATATATATAAACTAAACCTTTAGGCCTCAAAAAAATCCAGGCAATCGAAGTCAAACGGCGTCCCTATAAGGCTTGGACAAGAAAGTAAATCGCATTTCTGTTTAGAAATGTTTCCATCATTGACTACCCTGCTAATATATGTAACACACATAATATATAGATCACATTTTGCTTCGATTGTTATTTATTTTGTCTGTTTTCAAAGCAACATTTCAAAAGAAAACATAGGCAGACCAGATGCTTATCAAAGATTCTTTGTGTGCAATCCTAAAAAAGCCTCACTACTTAATGGCTTTAAACAGTTGAAGCCCCTGTGCACCCAGAAGCAAATACGTGTTGCTTATTCCTGATCTTAAATGATTAGAAATAAAGCAGTCAGGGGTAATTTGTCAAAACAGGATCCCCATGTGGAGCTCTACTTGGTTTGCATGTTTTTAATAATAAACATTGCACTTTAGACTCAATTTATTTGGCATCTAGTAACTAATTACAAAAATTCATTTTGGAAAAATAAACAAATAATAGTCTCATGTAATAGTAAGCTTGCTAAACCTCACAACAGTATATCAAATAAAAAAGTCAATTAAATCCGGCTTAAATATTTGCAACAGTAATACAACTCAAATGTAATAACATCATAAAATTCTGAAAGGGACCTTATGAGCGCTTTTACTTTGCTCAAGGAAAGTCATAGGTTTGTACATCCTGGTAGCGATGACTTACATTCATAATTGTTTCACATCTGATTTATATGATTACAGCAGATTTGCTAAATAAACCTCAAATTTGAAAACTTCCTCATGTGATAAATGCAAGGATTGGAGAAAGGAAAAAAATAGGAATGTATTATCGTGGAGAGAGATTGCATTTTTTCTTTCATCTGCCATTATCTGTGTTCAAGTGTGGAGTAACTTCATTAGAACATCTAAATTGTAGCAGTTTGAAATTGCAGTAATTTGCTTGAAAGTTTAATATGATTGAAGTCCTTTTCTTTTTTCTGCATATAATATCTCCGACACAGCACGCACGATTTGGACTAAACTGGGGCATGTGATGCATCTGACGTGCATCACGGCATTGTGACATTTTGAAAATGACTGCCCCAAGGGAGACGCTAGGAATTCAAGTCAAAATTAATAAGTGAAAACTTTGCCTTACAGCTACTTAGCTGCTTACCAGCGCTGCTGAGCAAATGTCAAATAAATGTTTTTTTTCTGAGCGGCATGAATACATAAAACATTCCTAATAATTAAGCATCTCCTTCTGAAGACAAAGGATTTGGAGCAGAGTGATAACATCATCAGAGCAAGCTTTGCTGCAGCAGAAACATTTCAATTAAGTCTGTGAATTATTAACTCTGTTGGGTCAAAAAAAGGGTTTTAAAGGTTTTGAGCAGCTTCGTCCTTGGAGTGGAGGCAGATTAAATGCAGGCTAAATATTGATGAATAAAAACCGTATTGTCTCCATTAGGAGGTGCACATATGTTTAATAGTTCAGGCAGCAAAAACAGCAAATTATATCAATAATCCCACTGCATTTTAACTTTGTTCAATAAATTGCTGGGCCCAATATTTAATACAAGTTCTGTATTCTAATAATTGATTTGTTTCCTGCATGTGTTGACTGTTTCTGTAATATGTGTTTAAGTTTTACGTTTTTTTAAGCCATTTCTGCCTTTTTCAGACTGTTAGTTAGTGATAGATGTCTGATGGTTGGAGGCATGGATATACCTCATATTTTGGTACTCTATGTTGCAAATGAAGGACCGTGTGATACAAACAGCAGAGACAGCTCTGTCTCTGTCATTTGTGCTGTTTGTATATTTACTGTTGATGAAAATGCTACTTGACTTCCAAATGACAAACAGAGCAAAACAATAATAAACGGTAGCATACAGACGCACGCACGCACACAGACGAGCACGGTGCAATCTAGGGCTGACGTCATTAGAAAGGCGGAGAGAACCGCGAACCGCTGGGCGGCGCTGCAGCTCGCGCTCCCCCCTCATCCGGTCACCTCATTGGAGGAGGCGATTGAGCTGCACTATTATTTTCATGCCAAAACGTGTTGTTTGTTTAGTCGGGGAGGCAATTAAAGCCAAGTTCAACAGGTTTAATTAGATCGGTTTGAATAGCCTCTCAGATCCCGTCATCGCAGTAAATGAGAAGCGTTGTTTCCATGCGCGCTACTTTAACTTTGGTTAACTCCGATCTGCATCTGGTTTAGTGGTCCTCGGGAAGCGCCGATCAAAAATAATTAAAGGCATTGAAAACTTTGTATTCATTTTTATTAGCAACGTGTTAGTCATCCTTGAGCGTGTGTGTCTGTTAGAGTGAACTTAACCACCAGGAACTGTAACACATGTCCTTTTAAATGCGTGCACATGTGCGTAAGGAGGGTTACAGCTGGGAAAGGTCAGTTTTGGAGCGAAGAGGCACCACTGTTGCGCAGCGGATGCATAATAATGTGAAGGTCAAGGAGACACTCATCGTGCTCCGGTAAAAACGCAGCGCTTCGGAGGCCCCGCGAGCCATTATTGGTCGCGCGTGGACACCAGGGAGCGGCGATCGGGCCGCACGCGTTAACGCGCCCACGGCTGGCGGGACGCGGGGTGAAGGAGAAAGCGAGAGTGGAAAAGGATAAATACAGGAGGGCGGTGCCGCAGATTAATTACTGACAAGAAGGGACGCACGACCCAGACAAATGAGGAAGTGCAAGGTCTGCTGAGTTGGGCAGGAGGATGCTGGTATCAAGCCCCCCTTCTTCTTCTTCTTCTTCTTCTTCTTCTTCTTCTTCTTCATCTTCATTCAGACACATGGAGAGATGCAATCTCTCCTCCCCCAGTGCTGCTGATAGGATGGATAATGAAGCATTCCTGACAAGGGAAGAACATGCCTCCCTCCTCCATTGGGCGCAGCTAAGTCTTTCAGCTGTGGGATCATGGACATGTAACCTGAGATCTGCCCTCCTCTTACCTGACTTCTCTTGTTTATGTGCTGTGGATATGAGACGCATACCTACCCGCCTCTCCGAGATCTTTGTCCCCAGCTACATTTTTCTTTTTTAAGTTAAAGAATGGTAGTGACTTTTATCTCGAAGTTTGGACTGTTTTACCAAACCAAATGGCTTTGGATTCAATACAAAAAGGAGCAAAAGAGCCGTGTTGATGTTCACACCGTGCAGCTGACACAGAATAACTGCAAGAATGTTTGGATTTGTCCAGGGCTGTGCAATCACAAAGGAATGTCCTGAGACATTTCTTGCTTTTCCGCCGCGAGACCCCTCTTTTCCCACGGCTCGCCCAGGTCTTGAGAATCTGCTTCCTCTCCCTCTCCCTCTCTGCCTCCCTTTTCCTCCCGCACTCTCCCACCCGCCCGCTCTCTGTTTGTGAAGACACATGAATGCTACAAAAGGCTGGTTTATAGGCGAGTTACAATACCAGCTCAGTGTCCCGGAGAGCACAAAGGGCAAGGGTCCGGGCCCTTCTGAGAGACCTCTAGGAAGCAGCGTCCAGGCCGAGACCCTGAGTTATTTCCAGCGTAAAAAATCCAACAGGAGACAAACACACAACACAGCAGACAGCAGTGAACTTACTGAGCACAGGTTGTTGTCCAGTGGGAATTTCCCATGTTGTGTTGCTTTCAGAAACCTCCATGCCGAGACAGCAACTTTTTTTTTTTTTTTTTTTAAAGGTCTTACTGAACAACAAACCGCAGGCTAAGTGTGGCCATGGAGTTCATGCTTGTGCTCACGGTGCAACGTTTCTGTTGCCCGATGATCCCTCAGCAGCAGGCGATGTGCCACGAGCTGCATTCCGAATGTGTGCAGGCCCACTTCAAGTATTAATACACAGGACTGCAGGTGACGGAGCAGCAACAATGGTGAAAAAAGCGAGGCCACATGTGTTAACACTTTGGGTCACGTGTTTGAGGGGCAACGTCGACATGCTTGTGAGCTATTTGCGGACATTCTTGTCTCTTGCCACTCGGCCACTACGAGTCCTATCAGTGGGAGGCGTTACCTTTCAATGTGTTGCGGAAAAACATTTTTTTTTCTAAGCGCTGACTCTGTTTTAGCCGAGCAATGTTTAACCCCATCACAAACACTGAAAGGCGTTTTTTTTTTCCAAGGAATTGAAGAACATTTGTTGGTCTTAATGTTCCCCAGACACAAAGTGGCATCTGCCTCCCTCCCCTGCATCGCCTGCTGCTCTTTGTTCGGGGGAGAGCGCTGAGGGGAGAGCACATCGAAGGCGGAGATGATGTCACCATTGTGATCATTACTGTGCTGCGCGGTGCCCTATTTTTGACCAGGCGTCACTGAGGGCAGGCCAGAATGTCTGCCTGCACGCTGCCAGGAGGAACGGTGGCCTGCCAGTATTAATTAACACAGTGCTTGTTTTCATCGCTCCTAAAAGCGTCTCAGGATCAGCCCCTCAGGTCCACCGAGCCCGCGTTCTTAACCTCAGCGTCCTCATGGTCTTGTGTCATTGATTAAGCACTGCAATAAGAGATCTATTCCACTTTTTTGCAGTATGTCTGTTAATTGTTGTTCAAACACTGACTCATATCAACTCCATCTCTGTATGTAATTCCGTTTTAACTCTGAAGCGTGATGCTTTATTACATTTTATTGTTATTATTATTATCATCCAGTTACTAGTCGCTGGTCCTGCTGATCCGTATAAGCACTCCAGTTGGATGTGAACTGCGAACTG